GTATTTGTATTTTTATCCATCTGATGAGTTAAGCCTCTTTCAATTGATTTTTATAGTTCGTTTTTATGTTGTACTGTCATGCACACCACTGTCCCAGGTTAGGGGGAGGGTTGGGATCCCGCTAACATGTTTAACCCCGCCACATTCTGTATATGTGTGCGTGTCCCAAGTCAGGAGCCTGTAATTCAGTGGTTGTCGTTTGTTTATGTCTTACATATTTGTTATTCGTTCATTTTTTGTACATAGATTAGGCCGTTAGTTTTCTTGTTTGAATTGTTTTACATTGTCATTTCGGGGCCTTTTATAGCTGACTGTGCTGTATGGGCTTTGCTCATTGTTGAAGGCCGTACGGTGACCTATAGTTGTTAATTTCTGTGTCATTTGGTCTCTTGTGGAGAGTTGTCTCATTGGCAATCATACCACATCTTCTTTTTTTATATTCACATCTTCTCAAACGTTCAGCTGTATAAAGAGAGATAACTCTAATTGATTCTTAATTACATTTCCATAAAGACCGCCTTATCATCCATATCGAAACTCCTAAATCATTCAAAGACCTTGCTTTTATCTGTTCATCATATAATGTTATTCCTCTTTGGTTTTATTATATATAGATATAAGAAGATCATGAGTGTGGTATGAGTGCCACTGAGACAACTCTCCAGCCAAGTCAAAATTTATAAAAGTAAATCAATATAGGTCAAAGTACGGTCTTCAACACGGAGCCTTGGCTCACACCGAACAGCAAGCTATAAATTAAGGGCCCCAAAAATTAATAGTGTAAAACCATTCAAACGGGAAAACCAACGGTCTAATCTATATGAAAAACGAGAAACGAGAAACACTTATGAACCACATCAACAAACGACAACTAAACTGAACATCAAATTCCTGACTTAGGGAGCTACCATTTGATTTTTATGTGGGGTGGGGTGGGGTGGGGGCAGGATTAAATTTGAAAAAAAGGCAGGACAGGAGTTTTGGGTTAAAAAAAAAGGCAGGATGAGCAACTTGGCAAAAAAAAAAAAAAGGCAGGATGACAATTTACGTAAAAAAAGGTCAGGATAAACTAATAAAAAAAAGGCAGGACCGAATAGAGCGAAAAATAAAAAGGCAGGACAGAGATTACAACTATAAAAAAATGCAGGACCAAATTTTTCATCCTAGCCCCCCTATAAACAGAACTGGACATGTATACCTGTTTTAAGTATACAATCCAGATTAAATAAACATACAGTTGACATTGACAGAGAACACTTTACTTTTAATCTTTTTAATATAAAACTTAACAAGCATAAGCGCTGGTGAATTTTTTTACTGTATGCAAATCACAAAAACAAAGCATTATACACTACACTACACTACACTACACCAGTACAATACAATACAATACAATACAATACAATACAATACAATACAATACAATACAATACAATACAATACAATACAATACAATACAATACAATACAATACAATACAATACAATACAATACAATACAATACAATACAATACAATACAACAAAATACAATACAATACAATACAATGCAATGCGCAATGCAATACAATACAATACAATACAATACAATACAATACAATACAATACAATACAATACAATACAATACAATACAATACAATACAATACAATACAATACAATACAATACAATACAATACAATACAATACAATACAATACAATACAATACAATACAATACAATACAATACAATACAATACAATAAAGGTGGGTTGTGTGGTACAGCAGTTTGTTCGCAGCAGAGTGACCCCAAGGGAGACGAAATTTTGAGTGAGAACAACAGTGCCGATCGAGAAAAATGTTTGTGTGGTATCCCTTCTCTATTCTTTATGTTTTTGGCCCATTATTCTCTATTCTGTAAACCCCCATCCACATCCTCGGATCCCTTTGGTTTCTTTTACAACTCAATAATACTTCACACTAAGATACCAAACTAAATCCGTACTTTTTAAGAAAAAAAAGTGACTCATGGGTAGGAATTATTAAAGAAAGGATAAACAACATTTTTAATCTATTCTGGTTACTTTCCAATAATATCATCAAGTTATATTTAAAACTAAATCCGGTTAGAGTGCTAGATAGTACCGAGTAAAATGTTATTGTTTTTTCCTGTTGAAGTTCCGAATATTTTGATAGGGGTTAGAGCACGCACGTGGTTATTTCAAAAGAATATAATTGAATGTTGGTGGTTTTTTAAAATTTGTTTTCGTATAATTATTTGAACACCACTGTCCATATAATTTTCAACAAGAGCTATCAAAATAACTTCATGCAAAATAATTCTTAGTTTAAATACGTATAGTAATTCCGTGGTTACACAAAGACGAAAAATAAACAGTCTTTACTAAAAGAGTAGATGTGGTATATGATGGGGGATTTGCCAATGAGACAACTATCCACCATAGAAGAAAGGGCGTAGATGAAAGCTACTATATAGGTCACCGGACGTCCTCCAACAAAGACCAATCCCCGTTTCGTATAGTAAGGTATGTAAGGCATGACAAAATGTGAACAATTCAAATGAAAACACAACACGGCCTGAATTCTATTAAAACAATACACGAAAAACAGATATGTTAAACATCAACCAACGGCAACCACTGAATTACAGGCTCTTGACGTTAAAAAATTAGGCGGGATTAAACGTTTGTGAATGCTCAACCCCTCTTCCCCCCTAAACTTCATTTATTAGGACAGTGTGGTGTATCAGAACAACATAAGAACAAACTTAATAAATCATTTGGATCAGACTTAACATATCAGATCGACATGAACTTTACTAAAAAAAAACTAATAACAATAACGTTATATACCAAATGTACATAATTAACAACAAGAGCCTCGTTGAAGCCCGAAACGCCCAACTGGTAAACATATCGGGTTTTGATTATTGGATTTACATTTTGACAATAAAAAATGGCTTTAAAGAAAGACTTTACTTATTTCAAATACAAGCATACAGCTTTTTGAGGGCATTGTTGTGAAAATCAAAGGCATTAAATTATATTTCTCCAATACCAGGATCACACTACGATTGCTGAACAAAATCGGGTTGATTTTTGTTGTGTTGCAAAATCTTCTAAGCCCCAATTCCAAGCCCTCCTTATTTCACTGAATGGCAATTTTTATTAATCTTTATGCCATTTTTATCTATTTTTCATATTTTAGCGACCTTTTATATTCTATCCTTTATTTTTTCTCTAGTATTTACTTTTTTCCATTATCATCTACTCTGTAAACCCCATCAAGAACCTCATTGATTCTGGTTTTATACTCTGTTAGTATATTTGGTAAAAAAAGAATGAAGAGCTCGTGTTGTATAATTTACTGGTTCTGAATAAAAGATAAAATGTTGTTATCTTTTTTCTTATGTTCTTTCATGTTTTATGTTATGTCAGTGGTCGAGATATCGGAGAGATCTATATAAAAAAAAAAAAAAATAGTTTAACATCGCCAAATGTCCATGTCACGCGGCCTGTCAAGGTTAGCGAAAATGTCAGTGGCGTAGCTTGACCTTTATTTCTAGTGAGGCAAACGATTTGGTACTTGGGAGTCAGAGCTTGGCACAGTTCAAAGACTGTGATGTGGATAGGAATTGGACATTTATGTCAAATCAACGTCACAAAAAAGGTTTGCCGCATTCAAGTACAAATGCAAAAATTCAATTTTTATACAAGTTTGTTTGTTGCTTGCCTTACACCAAGGGACAAATTTTTCATATAAAAATAAGAAGATGTGGTATGATTGCCAATGAGACAACTCTCCACAAGAGACCAAATGACACAGAAATTAACAACTATAGGTCACCGTACGGCCTTCAACAACGAGCAAAGCCCACACCGCATAGTCAGTTATAAAAGGCCCTGAAATGACAAATGTAAAACAATTCAAACGAGAAAACTAACGGCCTACTTTATGTTCAAAATAACGAACGAAAAACAAATATTCATATTCAAGACCAGAAATAATTAACCATATTCAATAGTATAGGTTCTGCAGAGTGTGTCGACCAGTATATGAGTACGAATTTCGACTGCAACTGAAAAAAGGAGAGCATGTTAGACAAGTTAAGAGATTTTGTCTTCCAAAAGGCCCGCATTGAACCCCTGACATATTTGTTTCAAGGGTTTTGTAATGCGAAGTGAGCATTTCACTCTCTTTGGTGCTGTTGGATATGGTCTAGTATAAACTCCACCCCTTCAAAAGTCGACAACGGCTTTCCTGTCGCATGTGAGAAATTTAGGTTGTGATTTTTCTATATCATAATCCTATCATTATGCAGGGTAAGAATAAGATAACTAGAGATTCATGAACATGAAAAATTACATTTTAGAAGTCTTATAAAATTATTATTTGATTTTATTTGACAAATATGATTTTCATACCTTTCAATAAATTTCAATTTCGTTGCATTTATGATGAGAATCATGATTTCCATCTTCAAAGTACTGTTCTGTCTTTTGTGTGTGTGGAGGGGGTCTTGATTGGCCACACACTCGTACAAAATTTTCGTCGTAACACAACCCAGATTTGCCGACTTTAATCATAAAATAATAGAAAATGTGCCAATAAAGTAAAAAATAAAAAATAAAGGGTGGTAAAAAAAGAATAGAGAAAAATGGTCAAAAATGGTCAAAAAAGGGAAAAAATAGAGAAAACTTACCTCAAAATCTAAAGCATATAAAATGAAGGACCCCGCCATCCATACCCTCATCTCTTTTTATACATAAGTATAATTATTGCGATTACCCTAATACCAGATGAAGTCAATATAATAGACATAATAGGTACTTCTTAAAGTGTAGGAAATTTTTGAAGTATCGTCGGAAATGGACAATTAATCTGCATTTTTTTCACCCTCGAAAAAAAAACGGTGCTAAAAAGACCGTTTTTGTTCTTTGTTATATTTTAGATATCTGTGGTTCTAAGCTGTCACCGGAAGACTTGTTGTTATGCGTAGAACAGATGCGCTGAAGGATGTAAACAACATGGCGGTAAAACCAAAAGTTTGACCGGCTAAAGCATCTCTCTCTATAAAAAAATAGTCTCTTGTATTTTGAGGAACAGAAAAGAAAACCAATTCACCACAGAAATGGCTCATTGTAATTAATTTCATACTACCGATTTCATTTGAGTGATGATAAACCACTAAATCTTCAAAATATTGCAAGTTCTCAAAACATGATAAAACTTGTTTACAATTACATGCCTAGTGTATCGCCTTTTATGTTCAGTTACATTGCACGTTTTTGTCATCAGCTTTTTGAATCAGTCATTAAATTAACATATTAGTTCACTTAATAAAGTATTAGTTTATGACTTACATTTGAGAGTAAAACTAAAATTTTTAGTAAAAATTCAGCATTTGATAAAAATGAAGTGTGTGATGGAAACCCTGGTCAGTTTGACCAAAATCATGTTTGCCTCAAGGTTATGTATTGATTAAATCTTAATCATGTTTTAGTTAGCGTATTGCTATTAAAAATAATATTTTTTTTTAATTGTTTTAAATGAAGTGACATTCTAAAAATTTAAACAGGTTTCCTTTAGTATTTTGTGAATACAACTTTTCGCTATTTGTCCGCCATTAATGGACATCACAAAGGTTCCCGTAAAATTTTGACGTCATAAAAGAAAATATCTGACGCCACAATAGAAAAGTGATTTTTGTATGACGTCAGTAGTTCAAGAGGCACATATTCTCGGGTCAAGCGGCGCAGATTTCCAAATAGCAATAAGGTCTATTATTTTGATGAAATGAATAATGAATATTTTCATGATGACCAACGGCCAAGTTCATTCATCTAAAACTTTTTAAAGAATGGAAAAAGATACCAAATGGCTATCGAACACATATCAATAATACCAAATTAGCTTTATAATTACCAATTATTAAACAGTAATCATAAATAATTAACATATGTTTAATCATCTAAATACAAATAATCATAAATAATTAACATATGATTAATCATCTAAATACAAAAAAATATTTCATTTAAAAGATTCACAAAGTTTTAATCATGCAAATATAAATATTTTGTCATACATAAAAAAAACGTCAATCTGTATACTGTATTCAAATAAAAATAGGGTGCACACATGTAAGGTATGAACAAACCCAGGGGTCTAACATTTTGGTTGCGAACAGACCTGATGCCTGTGTGATTAATATGGATCTGTCCATCCACAGGGGACTGGCTCCAAAGTGTGATATAACATAAAGATTTAGCCTTTTTGTGATGCCACCACTAAAGCCAAATGAATGTGTCAGATGTAATTATATATTCACTGCTGTATCATGTTTGTTTAAGTTGGAAATAAGAAAATGAAGTAAGAGGCTATAGGTCTCTAAAAGTATTTATCAAGGAACCCTTTTGAAAATTAAATGGCCCTTCAACCCTTTCAGTGTTTTGGCCCAAGCTTTGCATCTAGCATGTCTTGGGATCTACTTAAGGCTCACAGAAAGCTTTTGTTATTGTTTATGCAAAATCCTGAAATCTAATTGGACTTCTTAAAAAAAATATTTTATTTTGGTGTTTTTTGAAAAATCACACCATGGTAAAAATAGACAAACAATTCCACAAAACACTAGGGCAACACAAAAAACTAAATATCAAATAAGCAACATGAACCTAATCAAAAATTAGGGGTCATTCCAACACGTGCGATTTTGATCAACTAACAATTGTCGTGGTGTCGCATCCAGAAATGAGGGGCAGTTTTGTGTATTAATATTTATGCGATAATTTTATATTCAGTGATGTGCTTTTCTGCAATGTCTCCTTCAAAACTGATTGATAGAGAAAAAAGTAGCATGATTTTTCTTTGATATTCATAATTGGCAGAACAGGCTCATTTATTAAAAAGGGAAATGAATGTAAATGATAAATGATTATAATACCAATATACTTACCAAAATATGTAATGGAAGTTCAAAATTAAATTTAGAAACAGACATGACAATATTCCTTCAAACAATTGTATTTGTAGATGTTCTAAAATTAACAATATTTAACATGTTTAAGATGAATACCATTTTGTGTTGATTTGTCTTGTATATAGAACTCTTAGATGTAACTTTTTGCAAAAAAATATTATTGTTTATGGCCAAATACACGAAAGCTAATTTTTTTTGTAACAAACTAGGTCAAAATGATTAATTAAGGAAACAGACCATATGCGAAGGAGGAAAATTAGTCCATTGTGACCCATGTTAGTCATCAATGACTCAACAAATAGCCACTGAAAATATTGCAATTTGGTATGTAATTACAATAAAGGTCAACATAATTGTCACATTTTTTAGCTTGCTGACATGTTATCTTATTTGTTACGATCTGCAAAACTCCATTTACCTCAATTTTATATTTTTCAGTGTGGCAACATCCCTATGTGAATGTGTTCAAACATTTCAATCTTCAATCATGGAAAAAGTCAACAAAAGAAGGAGAAGTTTCAACTGTAATGGTAATTATTTTCACAGCTTATTTTATTTATGTACAGTATATCTTAGAAGGGTTAGATGTATAAAAATATATTATTTAAAAAAACTTTTGATTTTAAGAAGCACATGTATTAGCTGTTTTAACATAAAAAAATCATTTGTCTTGGTCACTATTAATCATGCTTATGATATATGGTGACATCAGGATCACATCATCAAGCACCATAAGATTAATAGGCAATATCTTCAAAAAATCATGAAAAAAAGAAATTAAACAAATTCTGAATTGTACGATTCCATGTTTCCGAAAGGTGGTTTGAAACACCGATCAACAGTAAATTTACTAAATCATAATGGCTTTTGCTGTAATGTCTACTGATAAAAAATCGGTTCTTCTAGAAATTTATTTTTGCTTTCCTGGCATCTAAACCATGTTATACATTAACCATATGTCAGATGTCTAAATGAAAGGGAAAAAAATACAAACATAATGTCATTATGTTTTGTGATTTTTGCAGCAGACTTCAAAAACAAAACATTGTATCTAATGAGATGTTCAAAGTATGGTCATGATGTCAACATAATTCACAGAATTTTTTCATATTATGGAAGACAAAAGAATATTGCATTGACAGCCATTTGATAAAAATATCATGAAATTCTAGCAAATAACAAACATATCAAGAGCTATAAGCTTCCAGCTATGCCAGTGTTGTACTTAAAGTCAACATCAGCTGTCTGAGTTTCCAACATATAGTCATCTCCCACCTTTGTATATCAAGAGCAATATGTTTCAGCGACCTGAAGCTTTCAAACAATAAATTTAGTAATTAACCAAAATACCAGCCAACTTATATAAAAATAAAAAGATGTGGTATGATTGCCAATGAGACAACTCTCCACAAGAGACCAAATGACACAGAAATTAACAAATATAGGTCACCGTACGGCCTTCAACATTGAGTAAAACCCATATTGCATTGTCAACTATAAAAGGCCCCGAAATGACAAATGTAAAACAATTGAAACGAAAAAACTAACGGCCTGATTTATGTACAAAATAATGAATGAAAAACAAGTATGATGTACAGCAACAAACGACAACCACTGACAAAGAGGTTTTTTATTGAGGTCTGAATATACACGTTGTTCATGAAATTTACTTGAAGCTTGAGAAATACTACCAAATGTTTAATAAGATAATTCAATGACAACTTCGCATTTTTTTTAGGATAAAACCCTGAAATGTACAGTTTATAGAATAACTGGTTCAATCCCTGCTGGTAACTATATTCAACTTCCTAAGGCACAGACCCAATCTCTTGGACTAACAGGTAGATATTTCTACCTCTTGTTCAAGCCGATTCCTACCAAGTATTTTGTAGTTCACATTGATGTTGCTACACAGGACAACCTCATTGTGAGGATCTCATTTTCAAACCTGTTTAAAGAGTTCAAGTCAACATCAACATGGCTTCAGTTTCCATTCTTATGCAATGCATCAAGAGGCTCTGTGCAGGCATATGCATCTGTTGGAAGCAAAGGTAACTTTTAAAACTTAATTATATAGCTTTTATATAAAAACACTGTAAAACTTGTGAGAATAATTGAATTTCAAAAATTTGAATAAATAATACAATTTGGAGCCTTGAAGTTTGGCATACTATATGCGTATATGGTGGCAGGTGCTCATGAAATCGTTAAAAAATGGATAATTTTGTAAATTTTACATAGAATTAAGAATGTTATAATAGAAAAAATAAATTTTAAAATAAGTGAAAAAGACTTTTTAAAAATACATTCTTTATATGTAATATCAAAGAATTATTTATTTTATGTAGTTTACGTGATTGATTGCTATGTTATTTGATTAATGTCCAGTGGCAAATATTTTATGCATATTTAAGGCTGATAATTTAAACTAAAAGTTGGTGCTATTAATGTAAGATGTTTTTCGAATTATCTTATGACTGACTGATTGGTTTTAGATTAACACATTGTCCTGTATTGTCTTTTTTTCAGATCACAGTGGACCAGCCCCTATGTCAACAAGATGGACAGTATTGTGTTTAGACATGAATTACATCTTATCTATGTATCTCAACAGAAAGTTCTCCTACATCAAAAATGTCAAGCTGTGTGCCAATATGCTGGTAAAAAATATGTGTACCAGTGATTTACTATATGAAGTTGGTAAGTTTACAGTTTACAAGCTATGAAAAAAAGGGCAGAGGGGCACACTTTTTAGATGAGTGTACATTAGTGCAGTGTCTTGTATGAAAAGGGACAAACTTGATAATGTTTGTAGACGAAAAATTGAAATAATCAAACAAATATATATATTTTTGCAGGATTTGTAGTATTTTGGGTTTTAAAAAGCTTTATTAATTAGTTATGAAAATGATTAGTTTGCATATGAAATGTATGAATTTCTTTAGAAAACTGAAATTCCTATGACAGGACTAGTAGGGCAGAGGATGCACAGAAAGGACAGATTTAAACCAGTTTTATTGAAAATATAACATGTCAGACTGGTTAGCTTTTAATAGCCATTTATGAATTACTTGCCAAACTTATGCATATATTAGTACTCGTCATATACTATCCTAGGTTAAATATCTTCTTAAATAATATTTAAAATCTTCTTTTCATATATATGTATATTTCTATTCATATAAAATATATTCCAGGTTTAACATTTGAGCAAGCCAAGAAAGCTGGACGTGTGTCCCATGATGTGACACCAATGCCAAGAGATTTAGCTTTCCCTCTATTAAAGGGAGATAAATGGGATGATCTGTATGACATGATCAGGTAAAATTGTTCATAATTTCAGTTTAAAATATGATATAAAAAAAATTGCTGACTAGCAAGAAATAATCAATGAATGTTTGTAGAAGGTTTTTTGAGTTTAACATATTTTAGCCTTGATCACTAAATTGTCAAAATGTGCATTGAATGCAGTAAAATTTGTATCGTACCATTTAATGTTATAGAGAAAAAAAAATGTACATGATGAGATTATAATAAGATCACCCTTTTTAATAGCTGGATTAAAGAAAAAGAATCACAAAGTGTATAAATTATGTCATTTATGATCCATGAGATATATAAAATGTTTGTCAGATATCTGAAAAATATTATAAAATTTCTTTGGTTTATTACAGATTAATATATATGTAAATGCTTTTTAGTGATATAATAAATCATATTTTTAATTTTTTTCAGATTTCCAAATGAAGGTTCCAGAAAACCATTTGATTCCATTCAATTTGAGAATATAGAGAATTCTGCAGGTAAAAAATCTTTTATTAGATATAACACTAGAATAAATCTTGTTATAAACCTATCATTGAAAAAGTCAAGCCCACCACTATACAAAAATTCAGGTTGTAGGTAATAAGAAAAATATCTTCAAATGTTTTGAATATGTAAATACAATGAAATTGCCAATTTTGTCTTAAAGGAATTTGTAATTGCTTCAGAAGATGGTCCAGGAAAGGTAAAAATTTCATTTAAAATTAACATTGGAACTGATAGGCAAACTTATACAGGGTCAACCAAACTAACATATTTTTACAGGAAAAGTTAATTTAGGAAGGAAATGCTTGATTGGCAAGTCCATTCCAATCAAACATGGTAAAAGTGAATCAATAGATTAAGAAATAGCGACAATGAAATTAACATCATATGTAGAAATTGAGTTAAGAAAAGGAAAGAAAGACCCTTAAAAATTCTAAAAAAAGGATGGAATGTGTAAGTTTTTAAAATTTCTCATTTTAGTTTCAGAGGAATCATCAATTAATTCTTCACAGCGAGTTACACCAAAGAAAGTTGACGTCAGTAAATGTGTATCAGAAAGGATATCTCTAATTCACAACATGACAAAACCAAGACAGGTATTATATCACATTAGATATCTTAAATTCATTACAAAACAAGTTTTGTATCAGATTTGGTGTCTTATATTCATGGCATGACAAAACCAAGATAGGTATATATATTGTATCTGATATGACATCTTCAAGTCACAACAAGACAAAACCATGACAGGTAAGACAAAACCATGACAGGTACTGTAAGTTCAGAAATTATTGGGAGGTTTTTATTAATGAAAATAATTAATCTCGCATTTTTGTCAATATCTCAAAAATCGCAATAATTTCAGAATTTACAGTATTGAATCACATAAGATGATTATTTCACATCATATCAAAGCCAAGACTGGTGTCTATATTGTACAAGATTAGATATTTTTTAATTCCTAACAAGGCAGGTATTATATCAGACTGGATATCTTTAATTCACATTATGACAAAGCCTAGACAGGTATATATATATTTTATTCAATAAGATATCTTTCATTTACAGCATGTCCAAATCAAGACAGGTATTAATAATGTATTTTTGCGCCTGTCCCAAGTCAGGAGCCTCTGGCCTTTGTTAGTCTTGTATGTTTTTTAACAGTAGATCTTGCCATGGATAGAAAACAAGTGCCTGTGTGTAGGACCCACTGGAACCTTACGATGTTTGACAGGAGTTGACATTTGGGAACATTATGATTTCTCTACTACTAAACTTATGATTTCTCATTTTTCTGATCACCATTTACATTCGTATGGCTTCAGCCAACCTGGACATCGAGACAAGTGAATTTCTCGTCTAGTATTGGCTTGGGGTTTGTTTTTCTAATCATAGCCTCCTAATTGTTTTCAAATGGTAAAATGCATTACTGTAGTATTGCTGATTCAACAATTATTAGTTCAATTAGGTGATAATTAATACTTCAAAGACTTGCATGTTGAAAATTTGATCGTTGTTTAAAATTTAAACAAAGTTCATAAAACAAGTTTGTGAGTGTTGTCGGTAAATACGGTCACTTTACTTCATCTTATTCCATTCATATTTGCTTCTTTATATTCTTTTTTATTAAAAAAATGGATGATACTGTTGATTTCTTCGTTTATTTTGATTTTCAAAGACGCCATTTTATAAAATTTATTAAACTGGTCCCGAGAAGTTACTTTATACAACGCAAATAACACATTCAGAAATAGTAAACCAGAAGATCAAGTGATTGAAGTAAAAGATGAGCGGGAAATTTGAAAAAAAAAAAAAATCGAAAAAAATATAGCAACGCGATTAATTTAGATAGCGCTGCGCTCAGTTCAATAGAACAGCGGAAAATTGCGATAGTGCTGAATACCGCAGCGCTAAAACGGCCTGGGGAGAACACTGACAAATATCTTTGATTCATAGTATGACAAGCCAAAACATGTACTTATATCATATCAGATTGGATATCTTTAACTCACTACCAATGATTGGTGTTGATGATGATGATATACACACGGATGATGAAGGAGAGATACATGTATTTGCCCATCCTACAAAAGATGATGAATAAATATAGTACTTATCTAGAAATGATTCCTCTACAACAGACAACAGTGTTTTCAATTAGAATAGATTCTTAGTTCCTCCAACATGGATACATCTTAGAGCAATGTTTACATATACATGTATATGAGTTGGCATAATTATAGTACATTGTTTGTGTTTATTTCAGAAAGCCATGAAGAGAATACAAGTGACAAAAGAGCTACCTATGATTGGTGTTGATGATGTTGATATACACAGGGATGATGAAGGAGAGATACATGTATTTGCCCATCCTACAGATGATGTTGTTATACATCAAGATGATAGACTAACAGGAGAGGTTTGTTAAAATTGCAATATAACTCTTTTTTTTCATTATTTACTTCCTCATTTCATTTTCATGATACATTTGTACCTTTTATTTAGGGTTATTTGAAAATAATCAAATAGGCTTTCAATTAAATATTGTAGGTGAAATATTAAAGCTGCTTGGCACCTCATTTAGTTATTTCTTGAGGTGCATTGTAATTATTATAATAGATTATGTGAATGGACTGGTGTATCATTTATATCACACTAAAAAGCAGCTTTTAGAGAATAAGGTGTTTTCACATTTTTTGAATACTGAACAATATGTATGTACATTTTATAAGAATAAAAGAAGACACTCGTATATATGAATGAGACAAGAACCTAAAGACACAAAATAGATTTGGAGTTAATATACAGTCTTTAACACCACATGACTTTTGTCAAAAAAGTTGTGAATAAATTTAACAGTAACAATTGATGATCTTCTATAAAAACCAAATTGAAGAAATGACAATTTGATATTAAGGTATAATGAAAGACGACTTATGATGAATTTCCTGCATTGCGACAGGTATAGTAACGTGGCAGAATGGAAGCTGTTTTTTTTATGGATCACAATCCTCCCCTTTCTAATCTTGATCAGTGGAATAACAAAGGGTACATACAGGAATGTACAAACAATGTTTAAGGATGTACTTAGGTGAGGTTTAGGAATTTTTGTCAAATGTTCAGACTCCTTGGTTTTTTTCCTATGATACAGGGTAAAATATTTTGCCCCATAACACCCATTTTTCTTTTCATATAAGACATCAATAGCTCATAAAAGGTCATTTACCAAAATTTAAGCAGATTCTAGATTTCTTTTCTTTCGATTTGAGACCCAAATAATACCAATGCAAATATAAGGTAAAAAACAGAGTCAGCCTTTTCCCGCCATTTTTAAAAAATTAAATATCTCGAAAAGGAGCTCCATAACCTATCAATATTTTTAGCTTATTTTGTTCCTTAACTAATGCTCTTCTGACTTATAGAATCAATTTTGAATTCTAGATTTTTTTAATTTCACCTAAGTACATCCTTAAATGCTGAAAAGTACATTACTTCTATCCATAGGCCATCATCAATAAGTGAAACACTCATGAATTTTGATTTGACCTATGGTTATTATTTTTATTTCAGTCTGTAAATGTAGAAAAAATAAGAGGAACAGCACATGTTCCTGCTGCAAGGAAAACAAATTATACGGTAAATTTATTAATGTGTTAATGAATTACTTCTTTACATGTTGGAAAAAATAAAAATACATTTCATTTAATTTTTTTTGTAAAATTTTCTTGTACGTTTGAAATTAAAAGAACCTTGTGTAAAATCTGTGTTTTTAAATAAACATTTGCTTGTTGCTGTAAACTTAAATTGAACAATTATTTGTCATTAATGAGCTATTCTGATAGCTTGATAGCAACTGAGTTACTTAAAGCACTGACCGATAGTAATTTTTTATATAGAGGTCTCCAGTCTGATTAAATTGATTTCAAGTTGAAGAATACATATTTTGAAAACATGAAAAGATTTGACTCTAAGGGTATATTTGTAAACTGGTTTTCACCGAAGAAATAAATGGAAAATACACATATAAAGCAATCAGATGAGTATCAGTATATTTAAGAATTTATTATTTTTTTGTAGGCGTTGGAACCAGATCCCATCCTGAAACTAAGAAGAATTGTTGGATTTGGTGGTGCTACATTTAAAGATGTAAGAGCATTATTTGTTACTATCACTGATTATGATAACTATTACATTGATTGCAGTGAGATAATGTGATTTTCAAGTGCAATAAAAACCGAACAACACTGATAACTAACTTACGCATTTATCAATTAATATATTATTTGGTCACTTGTTGAATATTTTCAATATCTGAGTTTTTAGATTAGTTATCCTATAATTGTAAAAGAATATGTCATGATAGTAATGAAATCTCAGTAATACATAATTTGTAATACTAATGCTTGCCTGTTGAATTTGTCATATACAATTTCAGAACAGGTACAGTTCACCAATCATGATTCAGTTAATACAAAGGTGTTCAATTTTAATAAGTAAAACAGTAAGCTTTAAAAGTTAGTTTGATAGGATCTACTTGTAATAGATCAATGATATTTAGTATGAAGTTGCATTACTATCAGTTCATATCAGTTTGACGACTATTTTGAGGCCCAGCCCCTAGGACATGGTCCAGTGACTTTGAATTAATTAGCAGTTTTCAGTGTTAGGTCTTCTGCTTAAGTAAGTTTAATAGGAACTTCTTACAATAGACAACAATATTTTCTATAAAGTTAAATACTGTCTGTACATCTCAGTTTGTCAACCATTTTCTTGCCCTGCCCACTAGATCATGGTCCAGTGACTAAATTAATAAGCAATGTTGCTGTCCATCAAATTGTCTTTGCTGAATTTTATGCTGATAGGCAAGACATATCTCTGTGTCAACAGTTTATTTATAATTTGTCTCAAATTACATCCAAGAAAAATACTAACCAGAAAAAAAAAGTGGAAAATGACAAACTTATGTAATATGATTGATTGATTGGTGTTTAACTCCCCTTTCAGCACTATTGTGCTATTTCGTGGCGGTCAGCTTTTATTGTTGGAAAACTGACAATCCTAGTCAATTAAGATTTGAGTCAAGCTCACCTGCCATAAGCGGGATTCGACCTCACAATCTGTAAAACAGAATGTACTTACTTATTTTTGTAACCGATAAGTTCTTTATTCATTCCATCTTTAGGCTTTGTGGTCCGTAGATGGATCAGCTGTAGTATATCCGTGCCATGCAGTAGTTGTAGCTATGAAAGTCAGTAATGGACACCAAAGGTTCTTTATAGGACACACAGACAAGGTAGGAATTTCTTCATGGAATAATTCAATCAAATTTGTAAATCTGCTTACAATTAATGCTTTATATGCATATGATTTACCAAATTATTTATTTTTAAGACATTTTTAACTGGTCAGCAACTCTAGCCATTAACATATTGGTTTCTCTCTTAATAAATTGCTATTTTCTTTAAAAAATGAGATAAATTAGTCGCTTTGCTGTCAATAATTTCATATGTAAAATATTCCAAATTTACATGAATTTCAATCTTTGCGGATATAAAAAAATTGAGTGTTGTATTTCTAGGTGTCTTGTATAAGTATGACTGGGAACAGTACAATGTTGGCTTCAGGACAGACAGGGAACCTGAGTGTTGTTAGAGTATGGAAATTCAATACAGGAGATTGTCTAGCAATGTGTAAAACACATGTTCATTCTTTACACTGTCTTAGGTAGGTTTCATGATTTAAAATCACCAAATTAAGATATAAAAAAAACAGTGTTAACTTTCACATGCAATAATGAGCAAAAAAAAAACTTGAAATTAAATCAACAATAAAAACATCCTGTTAAAAGAATAGAGATTTTAAAGTATTCCCAGTATTAACAACTTTGTCAAAAGAATATAAGGATGTAACAAGTGTTCTTCAAATATAGTTAGTGTAAACATTATTTTGAAAATGCATCTTGTACAATACAAATACACAGAAATTAGTGCTTATATCAATCTGTCAAAAAAAATTAGTTAAAACTATCAGTACAGACAGTATAAATATTTGTTTGAAAGTACATCGGCTGTTTTCTGCTCTTTGGTCGGGTTGTTGTCTCTTTGACACATTCCCCATTTCCATTCTCAATTTTATCTTTTTTTTTTATCAGTTTTGCCCACAAAGGTAACATGCTATGTGGAGTAGGCAAAGACAGCCAAGGAAAAAATGTAAGTTTATATACATATTTAAAAAAGGGAAAAAATTTCTAACTTGTGAAATAGAGCTATACATTTATTGCAGTGAGAGGAGTCTGTAAAAAAATGGTTTTTAAGTTAGAAGTCATGTATCCTGAGGCACTTGCATCAAGAGGTATAGTCCAGGATGAAAGACTTGCCTAATCTCATTTCACAGGCATACTGGTATTGATTTTCTTTAATATACCAACCTCATGCAACAAAGTTGCGTAGGGTATAATGTTTTTGACCCGTCAGTCTGTCCTGTTCTTGTCATCACAACTCCTTTGAAACCACACAAAAGAATTTCATGAAACTTTGTAAAAAATATGTAGATGTGCATTGCCACAGGAAATTATGATTCATAACAGAATTTGTTGAAACTTTGTACATAATAAGGAAATTATTAATCAATTTTTTTTTCTAGGAGTTATGCCCTTTTGAACTTAGTATTTTGACCTAAATATACAACTGCAACAGTTTGTCATCACAACTCTGAAACAAAATTTCATGAAACTTTGTAGATAATTAGGACATAGTATGTAGATGTGCATATCAACAGACAATCATGATTAAATGTTTTTTCTAGGATTTATGCCCTTTTCAACTTAGAATTTTTACCCAAATATACTACTGCATGCAACAGTTTTTCAGCAGAACTTCTCTGAAACCATACACCAGAATTTCATGAAACTTTGTAGTAAATGGAGACACAATAGGTAGAAGTGCATATCCACAAGAAAAATTATCATTTGACTTTTGTAGGAGTAATGAGTCTTTGAACTTAGGAATCTGGTGAGATTTTGTTTGCCCAGTGATAATGTGAGGGCATGGGGTATGTGAATGTGCTCACAAAGGTTCTTTTATTAAATTCAAACAATTATAAAATGTTCCAGTAAACATGTAAATAACAATAAAATGTCCATTCTAATTGGTTAAAAGTTCTGAAATCATTTTGCTCTTTTTAATGAAACAATTGATAATAAAAAATATGCTATTTTACAGAGTTAAAATACCAACCTATACATTATGTTTTGGGCACTTTTATCAACCAAAAAGTATTTTATATGTTCTGAAGTATTCATGATTTGTTTTTACTTTGCATGAGAATTAAGTCCTTCCGGGTAAAAATGTGTTACCTTAGAAATTGAAAGGAATGTAAATTGTGATACAATTTTCAAAAGTGTTATTTTATTTATTTTTTCAGATGGTTGTGATTTGGAACACCTCTAAAGTAATGAAGAATAGAGAAATAACTGTAACAGCTAAAGCCCACACAGATGTAGATATTGTTAGACTGAGAGTTTCAGCATTTGATGATACTAGGTATAAAACTAGAAAATATTATTATAATAAACATTTGATTGATGGATACTATTCAAATGCTGACTGTTATTTCATTTTTGAAAGTGATTCAGTCATTGCAATGTTTGATATTAAGATCAGTCTGCGGTTTACCTGAAAAGCTTATTAAATTGATATAAAGGCCCAGATTTTTTTGGGCTTGCTGGGTTTCAAAGAAAATGTCTGACATTTAATGACTTCTCTAAATGTCAAATTAGATTGGAATAAGCCTTATATGAATACTGTAAATTCAGAAATTATTGCATGCATTTATTATTGTGATTTTTGAGGAATGGACAAACATTCGCATTATTCGCATTAATAAAGACCTTGCATTAATTTCTGAGTTTACAGTATCAAATATTTATGATAAAACCCCTATGTATAAAGGAGCAAGGTATTTCATTACTTCAGTTTTATTTTCATTGTAAGTACATGTTCTTAAAAAAATATATGTATTCTATATATATGGAATGTTTTGTCAATATCAATTTATTATTTTTAGTCAAAAGGGCCTCCCTGAAAATAGGTAAAGGTTGATGTTCTTCTTTGTTGTAGTTATTTATATTTTTTTATTATTGTTTTAGAACTATCTTTTATCTAGGTGAATGATTTGCACACAGCTATCATAAAATGAGTCAAAAATCAAAGTTGAATGATATTTATTGTATGTCTTTTATATGAAAGTCTGGAGACTTCTTTAATATTTGTAAGAGTTTTACATGCATTCATAACTTGTATATAGCTTAAATAGGTTTTAAATATGAAACACATTTTTTTTTTATGCAGAATGGTATCATGTGGAAGGGACAATATTCGTCTGTGGAGAGTCAAGGAAGGTCAGTTAAGGTCAGCTCCAGTTAATCTAGGAGAACATCACTCTATGGAGTTTACAGATGTAGCATTTGAAGCTGGTTACCATGCCGACAAAGATCCATCAGACAGACTTGTGTATGTATTGCAAAGAATTAACAATGTGTCCTTTGAAACTTCTGGACATGCCTATATTATTATTTATAAAGAGAAATTCTATTTGATGGTACATTTTTGGATTGGCACTGTTGAAAACTATAAGAAATATTTATGACAGTTTTATTTGAACAAGTAACTTTTTAATGTGAGATAGAAATAAACCGTTTTATTCTATAGCTCCATATACAAAACTTTAATTTTAAGCTCTAAAAAACTTCTTTTTCATGCCCCACCTAGGGGCATTATGTTTTTCTGTCTGTGCGTTCGTTTGTTCGTTCGTTCGTCAGATCGTCCGTCTGTCCCACTTCAGGTTAAAGTATTTGGTCAAGGTAGTTTTTTATGAAGTTGAAGTCCAATCAACTTGAAACTTAGTACACATGTTCCCTATGATATGATCTTTCTAATTTTAATGCCAAATTAGAGTTTTGACCCCAATTTCACGGTTCACTGAACATAGAAAATGATACTGTCCCGCTTCAGGTTAAAGTTTTTGGTCAAGGTAGTTTTTGATGAAGTTGAAGTCCAATCAACTTGAAACTTAGTACACATGTTCCCTATGATATGATCTTTCTAGTTTTAATGTCAAACTAGAGTTTTGACCCCAATTTCACGGTCCACTGAACATAGAAAATGATAGTGCGAGTGGGCATCCGTGTACTATGGACACATTCTTGTTTATCTGATAAAATACGAATATAAAAGTCATAGCTTGAAAGTTTTCCTATTTTGCTTTGATTTTCAAAAATCTTTCCTCCCTTTTATGTACAGGTATGCCTGCAGTAGATCTGGACATATATTTGAAATAGAATTACAGAAGGTTGCTATACGTCATGTCAGGAGACTTCTGCCAAACTCCAGTAAATCTAAAGATAAAGACAAGCAGACGTTTAGATCAGGTCAGATAATAGCTGAGGTTCAAAAAGTTTTGTGGTGTGTTAAATATTTATTTTGTCCAAGTTCGAAATAAACGCTACATATTTGCAAAAATAAAAAAAAAATAAAAACTTACCATTATAAAAACAAAAATTATCATTTCACTGTTAAAATCTTTTCTTTTGTAACAGAACATCAAACTCCATAAAGATTTTATATGTTACCTTGAATATGACTTAAAAGAAGTAGCAATTCAGACTTTAAAAAAATCAATAAAACAAAGTATATGTTGCTATGGAGAGGATTTTTTAAAAATTAAAAAAATTGTCATAGATTAAATATGAAACTAAACTTAAATAGATTCAATATTTTGTTCCAGGTCCTGGTATTGGACTAAACTGTATGTCTGTTAATGAGACTTTCTGTGTTACGGGATCAGACGACGGGTATCTCAGATTGTGGCCATTAGACTTTGCACATGTATACTTGGAAGCAGGTTGGTTACTATTAATTCTAGTTGATTATGAAGGAGTATTTTTATAATTACACTTGATTTCTTTGTTACAATGAACAGATTTACAAAATATTTTAAACACACTAGGAATCATAGATGTTTAGAAACACTAACTCCTCAAACTTTTACTTTTAAAATCATTAAATATTGGTTGTTGATTTCAATTTTTCTTTTTTAAAAAGATTTATTAATTTTCATTTTACATTTTAGAACATGAAGGCCCTGTCACATCAGTAGATTTTTCATCAGATGGACTTCATATATTGGCTGGTACTTGTACAGTAAGTAAAATTAATTTACATTTAATCTGTATATTTGAGATTTTCATATGAATTTAAGAATAAAGTTAAAATTTTTTAATTAGTATGTATATGTCAGCACATTTTTGCTGTCATGTTGTGGTAATATTTTGTTGTGGTCGTTATCAATGGCATTGATGTCTTCATCCATCTATAAACATACAGCTTTTTACAAAACTAAAATTATTTATATAAGAAAATACTATTTATGATGGTGTTATAACATTAATTGGTTTGACACTGATATAAAAAAATAAAGATGAAAATTGAAGTGCTCTAAAATTTGTAGATTTTCATATATGAGATATGGGGTATAACATTATTAAATCAATTTCATACTGTATTATGCCATTTAAAGCAAATCATTGCAGTTCCTAGGAAAACCACAAAGCACTTAATCTTCTTATTATGAAAGACCTTGCTTTTTGTCGAGCCTGCGACTTTTGTCGCAAAAGCGAGACATAGCGATCCTACATTCCGTCCGCGTCGTCGTCGGCAGGGTCCACAAATATTCACTCTGTGGTTAAAGTTTTTGAAATTTTAACTTTCTTAAACTATCCTGCATTTCAACCAAACTTGGACAGAAGCTTGTTTATGATCATAAGATAGTATCCAGAAGTAAATTTTGTAAAAAGAAAATCCTGTTTATCCGTATTTTACTCATAAATGGACTTAGTTTTTCTGCCAGTTATTGCGAACCCAATGAAAGTTTTCCACAGTGCCATCTCTATCTTGACCAGGTATTTAAACTTTTGCAAGTTCACCTGTTCTATTGAATAAATACAATAGCTATTGTTCTCTGTGGAGTTTATTCTCTGGGACCCTTAAATTTCTTCTAAGAGAAATCTATCATTCATTGATTAAATTACCTGAGTAAAAAAATTATCTTATATGTAGACAAAAATACTTTTTTTATATTCATTAATTGCGTGTGATGATGTATTTATTCAATATTAATAATATATTTTCATTCAGTTTAATATAAACATTGATTCAATCATAAAAAGTTGATTTCTGACAAAACTTTCAACATTGTTCCTTTTAAAAAAAAATTTGTTTGACATGAATAAGAACTTGAAAATAATGATGTTTCAAATTAAGATCTTCTTAAATGTATTCTATAACTAAACAAAAAAAAATTAAATTTCAATAGGAACATTGATAAAACTTTTGTTAGAAATCAACTTTTTATGATTGAATCAATGTTTATATTAAACTGAATGAAAATATATTATTAATATTGAATAAATACATCATCACACGCAATTAATGAATATAAAAAAAGTATTTTTGTCTACATATAGGATAATTTTTTTACTCAGGTAATTTAATCAATGAATGATTGATTTCTCTTAGAAGAAATTTAAAGGTCCCAGAGAATAAACTCCACAGAGAACTATAGCTATTGTATTTATTCAATAGGACAGGTGAACTTGCAAAAGTTTAAATACCTGGTCAAGATAGAGATGGCACTGTGGAAAACTTTCATTGGGTTCGCAATAACATTACATTCACTCTGTGGTTAAAGTTTTTCAAATTTTAATTACTTTCTTAAACTATCCTAGATTTGTACCAAACTTGGACAGAAGCTTGTTTATAATCATAAGATAGTATCCAGAAGAAAATTTTGAAAAAAAAAAATCCTGTTTATCCGTATTTTACTCATATATGGACTTAGTTTTTCTGCCAGTTAACATAACATTCACTCTGTGGTTAAAGTTTTTCAAATTTTAATAACTTTCTTAAACTATCCTGGATTTGTACCACACATGGACAGAAGCTTGTTTGTGATCATAAGATAGTATTCAAAAGTAAATTTTGTTAAAAAAAAATCCTGTTTATCTGTATTTTACTTATAAATGGACTTAGTTTTTCTGCCTGTTAACATTACATTCACTCTGTGGTTAAACATGTTAAAGCTTTCAAAATTTTAATAACTTTCTAAGACTATCCTGGATTTGTACCAAACTTGGACAGAAGCTTGTTTATGATCAATAGCTAGTATCTAGAAGGAAATTTTGTAAAAATTTATTTCCTGTTTTTCTGTATATTACTTATAAATGGACTTACATTACGTACAGTCTGCCGTTAAAGTTTTTAAAACATTTATTAGATTCATAAACCTTTGATTTTTACCAAACTTGAATAGAACTTCTTACAATCAAAAGATAGTATCTAGAGGAAAATTTTTAATAATTTTTTCCCCATTTTTGTTGAGCAAAAGTAGGCGAGACACTGGGTTCTGCGGAACCCTTTCGAATTTTTTCACTTTAAAATAGGTCAGGGTACTTCCTTCCTTATAGATTTCAAATTAGCAATGTCTTGAATGATTTAAGAAAATCATAACATAGAGTTATGACAATAATAATGAATGGATGATTTCCATCCAAAGATGAAATCCTGAATTTCTCAATAAAAAGTTCTATCTTGCTCTGTTATAGGGAAACTTAGGAATGTTGGATGTAACAACCCGTAGTTATACAACCATGATGAGATCTCATACAGGACGTATCACAGGAGTAGCTGTAGACCCATATAGAAAACACCTAGCGACAGTATCCGAGGACCATACTATTAGGGTCTGGGACTCTGAAACATTACAACAGGTTGGTTATAGTCTGTACAAAAAATGATGTGGCAACAATATCAGAAAACCTTCTATCTGGCCTAGATGAACTGCAATAAGTGTATTCTGGCCGGGATTATGAATTAAGAAATATGTTTCTTTTAGGCTTATGTATTCATCGAAATTATTTGAAGAATGTTTAATGTAGTAAATTGAAAATTACAGCTTGTCAATGCTGACTCAATGGTACTCTGAATTCATTATTTTGTTGGGTACCAATTTTTATGGATTTTGTTGGTATAGATGAACCATGGATTTTGTTGGTATAGATGAACCATGAATTTAAAAATTCAATGGAATCTAAATTTCTGATAGAATGTATGCAAACTTAGGCAAAACCATGAAATCAAGAATCAACTAAAATACAATTTTTCTTTAATCGGAGAAAATTGTTACCTACAATAATAAATGAATTCACAGCATGTGTTTGAATAACAAAAACCCTTCAATGTTGTGTTTGTTGGTATTCACTGTTGTCATGCACCATGTACTAAAAGTTAAATTTAAATTCTTTACACCTGTTTGATATCAAAGTACCTTTATGATTTGTCTGACAGATTTCTTTGCATGGTGTATTTTGTATAGTTTCTGATCTTTATAATCTTAAATTGTAATCCATTTCGGCATTTTGCATTTGCGCCGATTTGCATTTCATTTGCGCCGATTGTATACAGGTAGATTACAGGTGAATGTTATTTCTTATTTCATATTTATCATTATAAATCTCTTCTGTTGACAATTATAAACATGTACACTGTGTATAGCTGTTGTCCCCTGCTCACCACGGGGAGGTGAAATAAGGATTTCAAGCAATAGAAGTCAATTTATGCGAATGAAACGATTTAAGACTGTTATTCGTCCTTTTACAATTTTCAACGGGTGTAGCTACCCAGAAATAAGGTGAATAATGTGAAGTTAAGCATATATAAATACTTTAATAATACGTAGTCTAAGAATGCATGACATCTGTCATCAGAAGGAGCTTCAGACCTAATGTCAAATGTGAAGCAGTTCTCGATTTCATCTGCGGGGAAGGAATGATAGCCCAAAAATTGAGATAGCCATTTACCAGTGTCATTTGGTTTGTCTTTATACTCTGTTTAAAAATGTATACTTAAACCAACAGACTGGATTTTCCTCCACCAGTTTATGTGCCAGATGAAAACGACAACAATCTATTTGCAGGGGACAACAGTTATATACATGTTATAATTGACAATTTATAACATATGTACAACTGGCTAACGGAAGATGTTTTTAAATTGATAACTAAAAAATAACATTCACCTGTAATTTACCTGTGCTTAATCGGCGCAAATGAAAGAATCAAATCGGCGCAAATGAAAGATCGAAACTTTTTAAAATCGGCACAAATGTCATACGCCCATCCATTTATCTGTATGACCAGACTTTTTCTGGTTTATTTTGGCATGGAAAATATTATGACATACTGACATTCTTTTTGCCATTTTGATTTATTAGTTCATATGAAAAATGAAATATCTTGCCATAGATCTGTTTTGTATTACAAGATCCTTTGCATTTAATTTATATCTGACATTCTCGAAAGATGTTTGTCAGTCATTTTTTTTTCTCACTTAAGTCAAAGGAATTTATTTTTTTTTCAGTTATACGATTTTAGTGCTCCTTCAGAGTGCCCCTGTGCAATATCTTATCACCCATCAAGACAAATATTTGCATGTGGTTTTGAGAATGGTATTGTCAGAGTTTTCAATGTACAGACCACTAGTATGATGGCAGAATACAAGTAAGTAAAGAGTTATTTTCTCTTTTTCAGTGTTTGATTGGAAGACAAGTTGTCTTTCCTATAAGTCATTGTTTACAACTGTCAAAGTTGTTTACCCAGATAGCATTTGAAATATAACATTCTGGTGGGTTGCTTTTGTGTGTGGATTTGATCATAAATTGGTGCATTTAATTATCCAAGGTCTTAGACTAAGGAAATGTGGTATGATTACCAACTGGACAAATATGAATTAGAAACCAAAGGATAAGGATGTAAACACTGTACAGCCTTCAACATATAGTAAGCTATAAATGGCCCCATTCCATATGACAGTATTTGTACATTACAAACCAATAAGATATTCGTGTTTCATTTAGGTTTGAACCACATGATTTTGATAAACTATGAATCCATGAAGCTTGGTAAAAAACAAATAAAAATAATTTTACAGTATAAAATTGAATTTACACCAGACTTATTATGAAAAATATAAATATTTACAGCATAACACAAATATTTTATGGGGATTATAAATAATTTTTATACTTTAAAGTTATTTATAATAAGTTACTGTAATTCATAGATTATTTTATTGCCCTTTCACTGAAAGAATGGCATGGTGTTATTTGATGGATACCAATTTGTTGTTGGTATGGGTAAACCTTGAATTTAAATATTCAACCAAGTACAAATTTTCTATTGGCATAAATGTATACTTTTAAAAACCACAAAATCAATTATCTACAAAAAGATGTAAAATTGGTATCCACAAAAAATAAATGAATCCACAAAAGGTGAAATCTATTATTAATTCATTAATTTTTTTTCGTTTTCAGACAACATAGAGGTAAAGTTATTGGTTTATCCTTTGCCCCTACAGGAGATTTCCTATTCAGTGCTTGCTCTCTAGGATCTCTTGCTCTTTATGATGCCACTTCTGATAACTTTCCTCTGTTACGTCTTCTTGCAAACACTGTAGCCAGAGGAGAGAGACGAGGACCACAGGCTTTATCTGTTAGTCCTGATGGAAGAAGAATGGCATTTATTGGTCCATCTGAGTTCATCGTCAGTGTAGTTGACAGTAAAAGTCTGGATGAGGTAAGAATAATGTAACAGTAAGATGGTTCTTTGAAGGGGTGGACAGGGGTCCTTGATTCCCTCTTCTATCCAGTTCAAGTTAATTGGTTGGACTATCCTATCAGAAATTGCGAGATTTGCATTTGTTATTCTTAAGGTCAATGATGATTTTCAAAGGTCACAATGGACTACTTTTCTCCCGTGGCAACAGAGATTTTGTGATTTCTTCAATAATATACAAAACGCTTAAATGTGTCACCTGAAAATATTGTTTTTACAAAATTTTATTCAATTTCGGACCAAACAAAAGCTTGAAAATGTCTGATGTGAAAGTTTGAAACCAGAAGCAGACTTATAAAGTCATATAGTTTAGGTGCAAATGACAAGTACAATGTTTCGAGGACTTTTCTTTTCTTACACAAAGTCCCTTCATACTCTCATGCACATGATTTTTAAAGGAATAGCCCTTAATAGTTAATGTATGTATTTTTGAAGGTTTTGAGGATTGATATATCTAACATTAACAGTTCAGATAGTGGGAAGGCAGTACTTGATTCTGCAATGAGGGTTTACTTTGCTCCACAAAGTTTAGGCCATTTACTGGTAACTACAGCGAATAATAAATTACTCAAGTTTGATGCTAGAACAGGCAGAATTCTTGCTGAGGTATGTAGTTACATAATATTTCATTAGAAAAGTGTGTAGGTCCCATATTTTTACAGTTTGATTCAATTTGTTAGACTGCATTCTTATTTGGATTATAATTACAAATTACGGCGATTCAATGCTTTTTTTCTCAATTTTTTTACAAGGTCTATGACACTTAATGCTTTTTCACCATTTTGTATTTAAAAGGTTTCAGCATAGAAATTTATTAGAGGATAGCACAACACATGCTTCACTGACTTTGGCTTTATTTTACAATACAGTTTATTTCTCCAATATATTGTATCCTAAAGCCATGCAACAAGGTATTTTGAGGTCAGCCATTATATAAAAATAACACATAGCTGAGAGGGTGATAGAGCAGATTATTACTCCGAGATAACATTGTCAACCAAGGCAACCTTGTTTCTTCAAGGGGTAACAATACAACTTTAATATGAGGTCATGTGCATAACAATGTTACAGTTATAAGAAACAACAAAAGTGAAGAAAGATATAATTTCTTTTTACAGTCTATGAAAAAGGTATGAGGCCAAAGCGTAGAACTCAAGCTTTGTCTTTCAAATTATTGAGATCAATTCAATTCATTGTACTTTATATGAATGATTTTTGATTGGTCAGCACGAGAGGGTGACATTAAAAAAATTGTCTCCCGTTGAGCCATGGGATAGAGTAAACTATCACCTTCGTATAAACCAATCAAAATCTGTCATTTTGACATGAAGTATAATAAAACTCATTAATTGCAGTTATAAGTACCAATCTTTTAGCCCTGTTTGTATTGAACTTTCATTTGACTTCTATGAGAGTTTTAATGATACTATTAGGTTTAAAAAAGAATTCTGAAAATGAGGCAAGGTCTGTAATTGTGAATTACTTATGTTTATTTTTGTCAAGTTTATTATATATTTTTGTAGGTAAACAACATTCATAGGTCTGGTTGTTCAACCTTGACTGTGACAGACAATGGTCGTTACCTAGCAACAGGGGGAGATAAGACAATCAAAATTTGGGATTACAACATGAAATTGGATATCAATTTTCAGGTACTATTTGCATACAAATTGATAATGATGGGAATATGAATAAAAGGACATATGGGATAAAACCAACAACATATGAAATAATAAAAAATAGATTAAAAAAATTAAAAAAGCCAAACATCTAGATGTCAACACTGTAAACTTAACTTATTTCCATGGATACTTATTTCAAGTTAACCCTTTCTAGACAATTTTGTGGCTATTAAGTTTTTTGCAATTCTCTATATTTATTTGTGTATTCATATTCATATAAAAGTAGATCCAGTTTAACATGTTTGTGACTATTTTTATATTCAAGTAATATTCTACTCGAAAAAGTTGCTAAATAGAAATTAGTTGATTTACAGTATATAAATGTATATGGTCTTCTTAACTTTATAAACAACTTTGTTAAAGATATGATATGACTGTATATTAAAAGTGGTTACTATTTTACAGGTTTTCATTGGTCACTCTGAAAATGTAAGCAAGATAGTGTTTACACCAGATTGTAAAAATCTTTTAAGTGTTGGAGAAGCTGTATATATGTGGGATTTCTTAGCTGTCCGACCATCTTCACCTACTGAGTAAGTTTAATACAGACAGTAAAAACATCCCCTAGTTATATAGCTTTTTGTAAAAGTACTTTTTGGATACTGTAAATTCAGAAATTATTGCATGCTTTTATTATTGGGATTTTTGAAGAATGCAATTTTTATTATTGCGATACTCAAGTAGTCGCATTATTTGCATTAATAAAAACCTCGCAATAATTTCTGAATTTACAGTCATGTTTCCTTTCAAGAAACATTCGTACTTTGAATCTACTTAAAATCTAAATTTACATAATTACTCAGTGTGATTTAACAATTTTTAATATTAGCTCATGAACTGAAGTTGGTTATTTTTATCATTAAGGTCCAAAAGTGATATTATTCAAGAGCTTACACTAAAATAAATGTTACTGTAGATTCATTTTTATTTGTTAAATACTGATTTTTGTCGATTTTGCGGGTAAAGATGAACCACGAAATTTAAATGTTTATTAACGAAGTATAAATTTTTTATAGGCTTATATGCAGAATTTGGTAAATCCATGAAATCATATATCCACAAAATTACACCGTTTCCTCATTCCACGAAAATTGGTACCCACGAAAAATAAAAAATCTGTAATATTCTGTTTTTGTGGAGCCTGCAAAATTTATTTTGTGAAAGTGAGACATAACAATCCTAGATCCGACCTCGGCATCGTAAACATATAGGTTCAGTCTGTGGTTAAAGTTTTTTAAGACATCAATAACTTTGTCAAACCTACATGGAATTTTATGAAATTTGGACAGAAACTTGTTTATTACCAAAATACAGTATCCAGAGCAAAATTTTGAAAATATTTATTTTCATTTTTCCGTATTTTTCTGATAAATGGATAAATGGACTCACTTTTTAAGTCAATATTTCACTTTTACACTGACAGCAGCAATCACAGGTGAGACACAGGGTTCCGCGGAACCCCTTATGAATTTTTTGTGAGATTTTCTTCTTGATAGATTAAACAATCTACATCAGAAATCAGGAGTTTATCTTAGATTTGTCCAATTAGTAAGAGTTTTTTCTATAAATCCCATTAACACCTTATTTAAAAATTCTTAAATTCAGTCTGTATTAATCAGTAGAAGCGTAAAATAATTCAGAACCACCCTTAAAATGTTCTTTTACTTAGAAAAAATTAAAACGAGAATATTTTTATGAAAGTGAATAATTTTTGTCGAGCCTGCGACTTTTGTCGCAGAAAGCTCGACATAGGGATAGTGATCCGGCGGCGGCTACGGCGGCGGCGGCGGCGTTAGCTAACTTCTTAAAAGCTTTATATTTTAGAAGGTGGAAGGTCTGGATGCTTCATACTTTGTATATGGATGCTTCATGTTACGAAGTTTCTGTCAGTCACATGTCCAATGTCCTTGACCTCATTTTCATGGTTCAGTGACTACTTGAAAAAAAAGTTCAGATTTTTTGTAATGTTAGATTCTCTCTTATTATAAGTAATAGGATAACTATATTTGGTATGTGCGTACCTTGCAAGGTCCTCATGCCCGTCAGACAGTTTTCACTTGACCTCAACCTCATTTCATGGATCAGTGAACAAGGTTAAGTTTTGGTGGTCAAGTCCATATCTCAGATACTATAAGCAATAGGTCTTGTATATTCGATGTATGGAAGGACTGTAAGGTGTACATGTCCAACTGGCAGGTGTCATCTGACCTTGACCTCATTTTCATGGTTCAGTGGTTATAGTTAAGTTTTTGTGTTTTGGTCTGTTTTTCTTATACTGTATGCCATAGGTCTACTTTATTTGGTGTATGGAATGATTGTAAGGTGTACATGTCTAGCGGGCAGGTGTCATCTGACCTTGACCTCATTTTCATGGTTCAGTGGTCAAAGTTAAGTTTTTGAATTTTGGTCTTTTTTTCTAATACTATATGCAATAGTTCAACTATATTTGGTATGTGCGTACCTTGCAAGGTCCTCATGCCCGTCAGACAGTTTTCACTTGACCTCGACCTCATTTTATGGATCAGTGAACAAGGTTAAGTTTTGGTGGTCAAGTCCATATCTCAGATACTATAAGCAATAGGTCTTGTATATTCGGTGTATGGAAGGACTGTAAGGTGTACATGTCCAACTGGCAGGTGTCATCTGACCTTGACCTCATTTTCATGGTTCAGTGGTTATAGTTAAGTTTTTGTGTTTTGGTCTGTTTTTCTTATACTGTATGCCATAGGTCTACTTTATTTGGTGTATGGAATGATTGTAAGGTGTACATGTCTAGCGGGCAGGTGTCATCTGACCATGACCTCATATTTTTGGTTCAGTGGTCAAAGTTAAGTTTTTGAGTTTTGGTCTTTTTTTCTAATACTATATGCAATAGTTCAACTATATTGTATGTGCGTACCTTGCAAGGTCCTCATGCCCGTCAGACAGTTTTCACTTGACCTCGACCTCATTTTATGGATCAGTGAACAAGGTTAAGTTTTGGTGGTCAAGTCCATATCTCAGATACTATAAGCAATAGGTCTTGTATATTCGGTGTATGGAAGGACTGTAAGGTGTACATGTCCAACTGGCAGGTGTCATCTGACCTTGACCTCATTTTCATGGTTCAGTGGTTATAGTTAAGTTTTTGTGTTTTGGTCTGTTTTTCTTATACTGTATGCCATAGGTCTACTATATTTGGTTATGGAATGATTGTAAGGTGTACATGTCTAGCGGGCAGGTGTCATCTGACCATGACCTCATTTTCATGGTTCAGTGGTCAAAGTTAAGTTTTTTGAGTTTTGGTCTTTTTTTCTAATACTATATGCAATAGTTCAACTATATTTGGTGTATGGAAATATTTTATGATCTATTTGGCAGTCACGCAGGTTTTATTTGACCTTGACCTCATTTTCAAGGTTCATTGCTCAGTGTTAAGTTTTGTGTTTTGGTCTGTTTTTCTTAAACTATAAGCAATAGGTCAACTATATTTGTTGTATGGAAGAATTGTTAGCTGTACATGCCTGCCTAGCATGGTTCATCTGACCTTGACCTCATTTTCATGGTTCATTGGTCAATGTTTAGTTTACTTGGTTAATGTTAAGTTTATGTGACAGTTGTAATAAAGCTTTATATTTAGGACTATCAACATAATATCAATGATTAGTAAAGAAGGCGAGACATTTCAGCGTGTGCACTCTTGTTTGTTATTGTCCAAAAAATGTGTCACAGAAATAGTATAGTTTATTATTTTTGATATTTTGATTTTTATTTACAGGGGAAGAGAAATCAGAGAAACATCATTTCCCTTCATGGATAGAACAGGTTTGTATTATTGTAGGAATTAAAAGGCAGATCTGCAAACAGGAAGTTTTCATCATGTGGAAAAATTGAGATTTTTTTTTAAATTTGAGAAACTTTTTTGTTTTGAGAAAAGACCACAATATTATAATTTTGAAACATGTGGTAGATTAATAACAAGGGCATCTTTCACTATAAACCAACTTAAGTAAATTTTGCTGTTTATCCCTAACAAGTCTACAATAATCATAACTTTTTGTTCCACCTTTTAATTTGCAGCTGACAGTTTTTTTTTTGTATCATAATCTATGAAATTATTGAGACATTTTGAACTTAGCATGGTAAAGTTGTTTAAACAAATCTGCTATATTGTTTAGTCTATTGACTGGAATTTTTTCGTAGTTTATTTGTTAAAGTTTGCGATTCAATCAGTTTAAGGGAAATATTTAACAACTAATGGTAATTCAATGATATTTGGTATGCTGTTGTAATATCATTAGCCTATTTCATTTCTAGTGGTGATATTTGGCCCTCTACCCTCAGTCATGGTTGATTGAATTTGAAAGTTTTCTATAGTTTACATGTTTTGAAAAATTGTTGTTATTTTAATTTCAACATTTGTGTTATACTATAGAAGAGGCGAGACATCTCTTTATCAATAGTTTATTCAATTTATTCTCCCTGTAATTACAAGACCAGTGTTTTAAGATGTTATCAGAAGCATATCATAATATATAATAAAAAAAGTGAGTAATTATTGCTCATTGCAGCCTATAGTTCTTCAATATCTTTTCTTTTATTTTACTGATGGATAATTCTTAATACGAAGGTGTAAATATTTTTTTCAGAAACAATTGATGATATTATAAATGTTTCATACCGCCAAGATCTTCCAAGAACACCACCTAAACCAATCATGAAGTCTCCTGGGGACCGCAGAGCTCATTATTCACCATCCAGACAATCAAAGACAGCTTCATTTAGTAGGATAGATGATCTGAGTTCCATACATAAACCTTCTACTGGTTTGTATAAAAAAACTGTGCTTTAATTTTTAAAGTTTCATGTGGGTCAAATTGACCTAGTAGACCAGACAGCTTACTGACAGGTTCTTGCAAAAATGATATCTTCCATAAGGTTGGTCAGGTGATGAATGAAAAAAATGAATACCAAAAGACATATAATATAATTGAAATATAACTATGTCTATAGGTTGCACATCTGTAAATATAGACAATGAAATTTTCCATAGGCACTCCTTTTATGGCTAAAACTGTGCCATCTTTACTGTGAAGTATTGTAAACAAGTATATCCTGGAAAAGATATTTCACATGCACCTCTATATTTTGCAAAGTTCAAAACATAGGGTTGTGCGGCATATTTTCATCCTTTATATGCCTCAAACTTCTAAGAGTTTAAACTTATACTAAAATTCTGTACTACCAATCGTTTAACTTTGAGTCTTCCTGGGAAGTCAATTTGACCGCTATCCAACTATTAATACTGGTTAGATTCCCAAGTTGTGTCTCTATGATATGAAACATTGATCATATCTGGGAACCAGTAGGTAAACAAAACAAAATATCTATGAAAATTAAATATCACCCCAAAAGAGGCGTGGTTTGTGAATCAGCTGTATTTAAAGAGTGCAACTTTTAGTATCCAAGAAGGCATCCTTGTTCAAATAATTTTCTTAACAAACAGACAGATTGTTCAGTAAATAACTGACAGCTCAGCTTATAAGGCAATATTATTGTTTAAATTAAAAAAAAGGCCTTTAAATGGGTGAATGAAAATCTTTCTGAATGAAATAAAACAACAAAATTATTAAAGACTGAAAATAAATTTTGCTTTTCAGTGTAATATTTTCAAATGTTATTATCTATTTGGCCACAACTTTTTTTTGTGGATAAATCAGTTGTTCAAATGTGAAATAAAGGTTTTAGTGTACAAGACACATTTCTGGAACAGCTTTCATAGGTTAGCCTAAACCGAAGGATGCTAAATAAATAAAAAGTTTTTGAGAGTATCAAAAGCAGGAGAAAGGAAACAGAAATTCCCATCTTGAGAACAGAATGCTGGAAATTTGTTGTACCTACTGCATTGTGTGACTTCAATGCAAAAGTTTTGACTTACTTAACTTTTTGTTTAACTATGGAAGTTTTGAAACAATAAATTTCTTACATATTGCTAGATTTTGTTACAAATATATAAGGCTTTGATTGTCAAAAATCTTCTAGGAATTTTGTTTTTATTTTTCAGAAACAGAATTTTCTGACAAAGAAGAAGTAGTTTTGGCTGGTCCTGAATTAAGAGAGAGATATGATGCTATTAGTGACACAGACTCGGTAGGTTGATAACATTGTGTTAAATAACATAGAAAAATATTTGACCTCTGCCATATTACCATGTTTGATAAAAAAAGTTGTACAAAACTTAAAACAGCATTTAGAGACTTAAACTGCATAATTACAGAACAATTATTTTGTAATCTTCTATGCACTTACCCCCTTACATCATAAACCATGAAAATTGTGAACTATGAATATTTTCTAACAATCTTAGCTAGAGTGCATTTCCATAACGTAGAGCAGGCTAAAGAATACTGTAAATGAAATTAAATTTTCTAGACTAATCATTTATATGTTAATATGAAAGTTTTATATAGCTGAAAATGCGAATAATAGTTTACTCTTTTATGAAAAAGAAATTATGGAGTATTTTAAGAGAAAAATTCAGTCTAATTCAAACTTTTTTTTTTACAGATACATATTAACTTATATGTAGGTAAACATTGTCTGATGTTTATGTTTTCACAGATTATCACTGGGTCATTTTATTAAAGATCAATGAACAATTAAAAGTAGATGTCACAGGATTTGAAACGAATTTTGAGAATAGTTTTGTTTTTACTGCACATGCATTCTGTAAATGTGTTTAAAAAATTTCATTGTAGCATACAAAAAAAAGAGAAAAGATTAAGATAATGCATATTTTTTTCTCTCAATTTTCAGTTTAACAATATACCAATCTTTATAAAAAAAAGTCTGACAGCATTGATTTTCTGCTCCTTAACCCCACTCTAAAAGCTATGAATTACTTAGTGGTAAAGTTTTATCACTGGTTTAGGGAGAAAACATATTTATAAAAGTTGTTTTCTTTTATCATATACATATGTTTTGAGTAATCCCTTTCAAAAGATATAACTAAGGTTTGGAATTTGTTTTGAAAATAGACACATTTGCAATGTTTTTTCCAAGGACTGACAATATAGTGCATGTGTATGGTGTATATTCTTACTGCACAGTGTTTTTGTTTTTTTAAAGGAGATACTTCTATCTTGTAAAATGTATAAGAAATGCAAAACGATTGCTGTAATATTTATAAACAAGTATTAATGTACAGCAGATTTTAACAAATGTTATCAAGGAGGTGGGTTATAGATGTATTAGTCCCTGTAAAAAGTAAATGAAACTTGAATGCTATTACTTTTTGTGTAATAAATTTGGAAGCCATTCAATTATATAATGAAAAATGTGGAAAGCGTTATATATGATTCAGTTATAAAAGATTCATACAATTATATAAAGTGTTCCTTTTGGAATTAAAAAAAAAACCTCTTTGACTTCATTGTGTGCTTACATTGTCAATTCAACAGAATTCTGAAGAAATCAGTTATGGCTTTTTTTCAATTTCCAGGTTGATTCAGGACCAATGACTGGACTTGGCAGCAGATCAAAAGTACAACAACATAAGAAAAGAACTCCTGTAAAAAAGAAAAGAGCTCCATCAAGGGGGAGAACACCCAAGAAGGACAGAAACTCTGACAGTCACAAACCAACATGTAAAAAACATTTCCAACAAAGGGAAAGATTTTATGGGTTAGCTCAGGTAATTTCTGATGGAAGCAATCATCTGATATTTGAATATTTGAATATTATTTTGTAGATTAGTAAAAAAATCAACGCAAAGAATGAAAAATATAAATTACAAAGTATTATTTGTTAATGATTCCAATCTTCTTTTCAGTATACTGAATGTTATCATTTCAGGTTCACTTCCAGTTGATGTTATTTAACTCCTTAAAAAAAGAAATCCTACAGAAATTTTATTTTGTTATTGTATGAAAGATTAAAAAAAAACTGAAAAAAAAAACAGAAATATATAAGGCTATGTTTTTAATGTTTTTATGGTAACTTTAATTTTTTATAAGATTTTTAATTCCAGTTTTCTTTTGCTTGTTTTTCAGAGACGTTACATAGCACCACCAAATCAAGCAGGTGTACATTTGAAATCTATTATAGGCTACAATGGAAACGCCAAAAATAGTCTTATATGGCAGGCAGACACAGGTAAAAGTATAGTAAAGTTCAGTTTTCTGAACATAATTCAATACTTCATATTATATCTACATTTCCATACTGAAGTTCAAATTATTAAAAAAAGCTTTGAAAAAAAATGAGTACACATATTTTGTAAATGTTCACAGTATGTATTTACCTACATTAAGGAAGAGTATTTCACCAAAACTAATTTTAAGTTTTTAATTGCACAAAATGTTTTGAAGCTGAGCAGACTTACAATAAGTGCTACTTATCAGAAATCACAAGTTCTTTAGTACATTGTATAAAGTTTAGATCAAATAGATTAACATTTTTGTTTTTTATGGCAAATTCAGGACTGTTTGTTTACACAACTGGTTGCGTGTTAATTGTTGAAGACTTGAATACAGGGCACCAGAAACATCTTACTGGTAAGATTTACAAAGGATTATTACATAACATACACTTCATTTTATCATTAATTCAAATGGAACATATACAGTAGACTCCACCTAATCGGATATCGGCTAAACGAATATATCGGCTATTGTAATATTATTTCAAAACACCAAACCCTTCCCTATATGTTTAATGTTAATTTTATCGTGTAATCGAATATCGGATATAAGAATATATCGGCAAATCGGATAAGAATATTCAGGTCATTTTGTTCAAAACCATGAACAATCGGATATTTTCAATGTTTTTCTGACAGGAAATGGACCCGGAAGTTACAAATTTACAATCTTGCAGACAATAAGATTTTGTTTTTACTAAATAAAAGGAACTATTTCTTAATAAATTGTTGTCTTTAATCATTGTATTCCTTTGTCTTGTGAATTAGATGCCCTTTTACTTCAAATGGTTTGAATTTATTTATAAAATATGCAAGACTCAGTTGACGTTTCTGTTTGGAGAATTTTGATTAAACTCTAAATGTTCACAGAATCAGAAATATAATCTGAACTGAATGTACCTCCTTCTGAATAATTTATTGCAATATAAATATAAATCCCTTTTGACAAGAGAAATCTGACTTTTGTCAGATATATTTTTTTCACATGTGCAAAAGTAACCACATGTCATGGACGCCATTTTGGATGTTTACAAATTTGTGAGGAAGCCTCTAGAACTATGACCTAAATATAAATAGTCTTCAGAAAACGTAAACTTTATGCAATAATATTTTATCAATCATGATTATTTTCATAAATTTAAATTTGATTATTTAAAGAAATAAAATTATAACAAATACGATTTTAGTTTGGAGATTCTACACAGACATGCTTAGATCTATTTATATCCAAATTAGTTTACCTGTGTGATAATGTAAATAATGGATATTAATTTGCTTACAAAACAAATAAAGACAAACTATGGATGGTAGATAATAATTCACATAAATATTTCAGGATATTCGATTTATTTTAATAAATAAAGGATTTAAAAACTGCAAAAAAATTTAATCATTACATAATCAGCTGATAATTTTTTACACAAACATCGTGGTGATGTAACTGATAAAAAACACTCCATCAATCCTCCAGCCCTTTCACATATTTAGCAATTGTCAGGGTTAGTAACATCTCAAGATTATATCTACTCCTTATTGCAGAATATTCAATGAATATACATTCATCGTCTAATTGAATATATCGGGTAATCGGATATTTTTAGCTGACATTTTGGGTATCCGATTTGCCGGAGTCTACTGTACTAGGCATTCCAACTCATTTTTTCAAAAGTTCAATATTGATTGGGAATAGCAGAGCGATGTTAAGAAAAAGCTATCTGCATGCAAAAAAACAAAATGGTTTTTTATGCCCCTGCCGCAGCAGAGGGGCATTAAGCGTTACCCTTATCCGTCCATCTGTCCAAAATTGGTTTCTGTTCTCTAACTTTAGTTTTCCTCAAATAAATGTTATGAAACTTATGCACAATGCTTATTACCATAAAACACAGATCAAGTTTGAATTTGGGTGGCATCACTTTTATTGTTCTAGAGTTATGCCCTTACAAATGGAAAAATTACGGAATTTTTCGTTTCCGTTCATGAACTTAAGTTTGCCTCAATCAAATGTTGTGAAACTTATAAACAATGCTTATTACCACAAAACTCACATCAAGTTCAAATTTGGGTTGAGTCATTTTACCGTTCTTGAGTTATGTCCCTTTATAAGGTTATATGCAAGTGGGGACATCATCTGTGTCCCATGGACACTTTCTCCATTTATTAAACCATATAATTCTCTTCCTTTTCTTCTATTTTTAATATCATTAAGCCATTGCATCTTCTTTTTTCTTTAAATGTTTACCTTTTACAAAGAGCGCAACAACTGCAGTTGTAAAATATCACCAGTAAAGTTTGTTTTACATAAAATGAGAAGATGTGTAATGATTGCTAATGAGACAACTCTCTACCAGTGACCAAATGACTTAGAAGCTAACAACTATAGGTCACCATACACCCTTCAACATGTCTATTTGTCTGATTAATAATATTTTTTTATAACTAAAACTGATGGAAAATGAATATCTTTCGTTACCTTAACCTGTCTCAACAAAAGTTTACAAAACTTATACATGTACATTAGTAAAAAAGATAGATACAAATTTATATGACAATGTCTACATATACACCTTTGAAAAATAATAAATGTTCTATACAAATATTGGTGGTAATGTTATTATTAGATTTTTATGCCCCCGCCGATGCGGAGGGGGCATTAAGTTTTACCCTTGTCCGTCTGTCCGTACGTACGTACGTCCCAAAATTAGTTTCCGTTTTCTAACTTAAGTTTGCCTCAACCAAATGTTATGAAACTTATACACAATGCTTATTACCGCAATACACAGATCAAGTTTGAATTTTGGTGGCGTAACTTTTACTGTTCTAGAGTTATGCCCCTTTACAAATTTTTTTTCTAAAAATATCAATGATGTCATTGTTCAAGTGATTTTTTAAATTGGAGTTATCTTCCTTTTTTTCTAACATTAGATAAGTAACAGTAAAATTTTGGTCCTATATACCTTAATACAACAAAGTTCATATGTATAAGCTTGATGAAGTTATAACTAATAAGGAAAATTTATATTTGTTGGCAGAGATTTTCCTATAAGGTTGCATGTCTGAAGGAAAAATGGAATTCCACTTTTAGACAATATAATAAAGACATTAACAATCAATCAATTAATATGATTATGTTGAATCACATTGTAAGAAATGCAAAAATACCTGAAGATTTACTTATTTTTGAAATATAAACTGTTGCAAAATCAATTTTTTGGTGGGAGTATTAATAGGATAGTTCTATATGTAATGTATGTAGAGAAAAGTTGTTTAAATTATTTGTCTTAGAGGATAGTAGAATTTCTTAGTTTTCATGGTCTAAATAGAGCTGGTAGCAACCAGACAAGATCTTTATTTTAGCCCACTTACATATAGGAACTTTGCATTTATTATATTTTGTATGATTTTTAATTGCATTATGAAATAAATTTAATATTATACAGGCCATACAGAAGAAATATCAACACTGTCTTTACAGAATGATTGTCAGGTAAAATTATTTTGATTGGTTAGGAGTTACTGACATGTAATTATACGACCGCAAAAAAATTGTGCGGTCGTATATTGGTATGACGCTGGCGGCGTCGTCGTCATCGTCATCGTCCGAAGACACATTGGTTTTCGCACTCTAACTTTAGTTTAAGTGAATGGATCTCTATGAAATTTTACCATAAGGTTCAATACCACAAAATGAAGGTTGGGATTGATTTTGGGGGTTATGGTACAAACAGTTAAGGAATAAGGGGCCAAAAAGGGGCCAAAAATAAGCATTTTTGTAACTTCCAGACATAACTTGTGTGTTAGTGTATTGATCTCTCTGACATTGTACCACAAGGTTCCATATCACAAAGGGAATGCTGGGATTGATTTTGGGGGTAATTGCCTCAAAATTTTAGGAATTAGGGGCCAAAAAAGGGGCAAAAAACAAGCATTTTTCTAGTTTCATGACAATAACTTGTGTGTAAGTGTATGGATCTTTCTGAAATTGTACTACAAGGTTCCATATCACAAAGGGAAAGCTGGAATTGAGTTTGGGGAAATTGCCCAAAACGTTTAGGAATAAGGGGCCAAAAAGGGGCCAAAAATAAGCATTTTTGTAACTTCCAGACATAACTTGTGTGTTAGTGTATTGATCTCTCTGACATTGTACCACAAGGTTCCATATCACAAAGGGAATGCTGGGATTGATTTTGGGGGTAATTGCCTCAAAATTTTAGGAATTAGGGGCCAAAAAAGGGGCAAAAAACAAGCATTTTTCTAGTTTCATGACAATAACTTGTGTGTAAGTGTATGGATCTTTCTGAAATTGTACTACAAGGTTCCATATCACAAAGGGAAAGCTGGAATTGAGTTTGGGGTAATTGCCCAAAACGTTTAGGAATAAGGGGCCAAAAAGAGGCCAAAAATAAGCATTTTTCTAGTTTCCAGACAATAACTTGTGTTCAAGTGTATGGATCTCTCTGAAGTTGTACTGCAAGGTACCATACAACAAAGGGAAGGCTGGGATTGATTTTGGGGGTAATTGCCTCAAAATTTTAGGAATTAGGTGCCAAAAGGGGCAAAAAACAAGCATTTTTCTAGTTTCAGGACAATAACTTGTGTGTAAGTGTATGGATCTTTATGAAATTGTACTACAAGGTTCCATATCACAAAGGGAAAGCTGGGTTTGAGTTTAAGGGGTAATGAATCATAAGGGGGTTCAAAAAATTGGGGGTGGGGGATTTTTTTTCCCTTTTTTTTCCTTTTTTTTTCTTTAAAATTTTCCATTTTAAATTGGTTATTTCTGATTTATATATAAAAGCAAATAATAATGATATGGTTTGAATAGGTAAATTAAAATTTTTTAAGTTCTTAGACCACATTCATTCTGTGTCAGAAACCTATGTTGTGTCAAATATTTAATCACAATCCAAATTCAGAGCTGTATCAAGCTTGAATGTTGTGTCCATACTTGCCCCAACTGTTCAGGGTTCGACCTCTGCGGTTGTATCAAGCTGTGCCCAGCGAAGCATTTTATTTTATAAACTTTTATCATTCTATAAACATGTACTGAGATCTTTTCATCCCATTCAATATAAATTGTATGAACCATTATAGGTAAAAGTAACTTAATGGATAAATGTTTGCTATAGTTCATGGAAAATTTGAAGTGAAAATCTAAAATTGTTATGTGGCAAACATAATAATAAATAATAATGTCAGTTGTTTATATGTCTGAGTTGGGACTTTGGTGGCTGAGTGGTCTAAGTAGTTCATCAACTGTATCACTAGCCTGTAAACACTGAGCAGGTGCGTTTGACTCTAATCTTAATTGACTAGGATTGTCAGTTTTTCCTGTCGAAGGTTGTGGTTTTCTCCAGCACTCCAGCTTCCTCCACCAGTAAAAAAAAAAAACCTAACCGCCATGACATAGCCAATAGTGCTGAAAGTGGTGTTAAAACACAACCAATCAATTATATGTTTGAATTTGAAATTAAAGTATTTGGCCAATAAAGAATGGATTAAAATCAATAAATCTGAGATGAACTTTGTTATGATTCACTTTTTGTGCTATTATTTTTTAGGAGGGATGAGTATAAATATGTGTTTGTCTTGGGGATTTAGCCAACAAGATTTCACCTTAATTAATCTATTTTAGTAAGGAGGAACTGAATACACTTTCAAAAGTGTCAAAAATATTTTCCTTGAATAAAATAGGGCTAATGTAACTAAAAAATGTAAGTATTTATAAATCTTAAAAAATATATACATATAATTATTTTATAAACGGGATACATCATTTTCAATTAAAAAAATTGAAAATAAAAACATTACAGAATTTACGCCTTATCAATTTTGACTTAAATTGAAAATTTTAGTATTTCTGACACCCTTCATTCAGATGATATTTGTTTTAGTACATTTAGATTTTTTTTATTTTCTGCTTATTCAGGTTTTAGCATCTGCCAGTGGTTCATTTGGAATGTCACCAAGTCAGATAATTATCTGGGATTTAGAACAATATCTATGTCGGAAAGTTCTAAATCATCACGAGTTTGATATACAGTGTCTGGCATACTCCAGGGATGATAGGTTCCTTATATCTGTTGGTAAGGATTTAAAAAAAAACGTTTTAAATACAGAAAATGAAAATTATAAATATTACGACTAGATTTTAAAAGGTAAAATAGGTAAAAAATTGAAAGAAAGAAAAACAGTGCCATGACTTTATTTTGTGATTATACGATGATGAACACATGTACTAACAATAGATTATTACAAACCTATCTGGTTATCTTCAGTGTTTTTATTTATACTTTCTCTTTGCAAGACTGACAGTTTTTATATAAATATATTAATATATCTGTTTATACTGCACTCGTTCTATTTGAGAAGTCAAAATGCGTTGACTGTATATTTCTATGTCATATACAGTCACTGACCCGATATAACATTTCCTCATGAATATTTAAATAGTAGAGCCAAAACTATATTTAAATATTCATGACGAGCGCTTCAACCTGTCCTTGTTTCCAATGTTTACAACGAAGCGTGGAACGACTCAAATTTGTTTCTTTTACAATTGTTAGAAAAAAATATTTCACTTGTTAATATTTTTCGTTTAAAACCTATAAGTCATTATGTTTTATGCTTATTGTTGATACTCATACTCAAACGAATTCGTTCACCAACGATTGGTTTCAACTGGTAAATTAATGTACATTTCATTGTGCTGTATGTTTCTCCGCCAGATGTGAGGCCTTTTTAAAGGGGGATTTTTTCCAATATTTTAATCAAATAAATAACAATAACACAATAAACAACAATTGAACATGTGTTTTTCTAGATTACAGTATAAAGACAATAATAGTGTATTGACTTGACATATCAACGATATAAGGATTCGGCCCGAAACGGGGGAAAAAGCTCGGCAGAGCCTCGCATTTCCCTGTTTCTAAGCCTCATCCTTATATCGTTGATATGTCAAGTGAAGACACTATTATTGTCTATATCTAGAGATTCACTATATTTTGCATTGCCTATATTTATAGTGATAGTCTTTATTTTGCCTTGTACATATTTCTAGATATCTACTATTTAACTTTTGCTATATTTCGACACAAAAGACATCAACACTTTTTTGTGTCTACATATTCTTATTTATTTCAAGACAACTGTGAATAACCTAGTGGTATCCACTTGTTCTTTATCCTACCGCACAATCACCACTTTAGGTGTTGGTTCACTTATAAAATTAGTTTTGCTATATTTGTAAGAATAGACTGTATTTTGCCTTGAACATATTTCTAATGATTGACTAATTACCTTTGACTATATTTGTATGATCCATTGTTTACCATGCCTACATTTCTAAAGGTTTTACTGTATTTTATTAAATAATTATATTTGGGTTTATCAATATTTACAGGCGACTACCGTGATTGCTCAATTGTTGTATGGAGTACGAATAATTATGAAATCCTGACAACTTCACGGGCAGCTAGTCCAGTACATGAATTGAAGTGGGATCCATACACTGTCAATGAGTTTGCCACAGTGGGACAGAATGGTACAGTCCTCTTCTGGTTACTGGACGAAACAACTACTGATGTTTGCCTGAATGTACACGAAGCTGAAGTACCAGAAGAACTATTAGAGGGGCACCATAAGGTATGTTGAACTTAAACAAGTAGTAATTTTAGGGAATGTGCGTCAACTCTCATTTAAACTTTTAAAAAAAAGTTATAGTATAAAACTGTAGGTCACACTTCAAAATATTAAAAAAATCACGTGGTTTAGTAAACCTAAATGGATATATCCCTCCCGAACATATATCTAAAATAAATTCTTTTGCTTGTATTCATGTGAAAAAATCATTTATCATTATGTCAGTGTCAAATGCTAAATGTTTATGACTAATCCAATAATTAGTTTTCAAATAATAGCAATTATTTCCTAAGATAGTCATAGGATAAGTGCCCAATAACAGAATTAACTAAAGCCAAAATAGAAAAAAAGTAGTAAAACATATTTTTTCTGGTTTTTTTTCCATGAGGGTCAGTTATTATTACTGTTCTTCCAATGAAATATTGCAGTATAGTATATTGTACAATTTATATAAAATGGATGATTAATCTTTTTAGGATGTTGAATCAGTTGATTTTACTGCCATGGAGTATGCAGGGGACAGTACTCTGTATATTTCTACAAGTAGTGGTAAAGTGTCAGCCTGGGACACACGGCATAACACATGTTTTATACACTGGGAGGCAGATAAATCAGAAATAGGTGTGTATGTTTTAGCCTTTCATGCATTAAGTTTTGTAATAAGCTTACATATATACTCCAAACAATTTTACATACTTTATTTATTAGATAACATTAAATAAATAATTGACTTGTATATAAATGTTATATTTGTTCCTTATTGTTTAGCCACCAATATTATTTTAATATTAAATGCATACAACGCTGAATGAGAGAGCAAATATATTATTAAGAGATGGAATAAATATGTACTTTCAGTTCAAAATAGTCATATTTTATCCATCTTTTAAGTTTATGGCACAGAAATTGCATATAAATACAAGTACATGTGAATAATGTAAAAATAGATTCTACTAATGCATCTAATGTGATACAATATTACTCCTCTCTAATTAAATTTTCAAGTTTAAAATGTGAGGCTTGATGAGTGATTTAAACATTTAAGATATAACCGCCAAGAGTAGGAAAATATTATTTGACATGATATATAGTGGTGGAATTTTTCCTCTAATAACTTTTATACAATATGAAGACATAGTCCTCTTTCTTTTTTTAATGATCGACAAAAAGATTAATTTGTTTCTATGTGACATTTTTTTGTGATGTCACAATAGCAAAACCAGAGGAAAGCAAGAAAATTCATAATTGATCGACTAAGAATAAGAAAAAGTAGTACAGCAAAATCAATGTGTGTAATGTAAATTATGATACTTTTGTGTGGATTTGTTCATTTGTTTTTTATCAATAAACCAAAAATGCAAGACAAATTAATATGATTTCAGGAAATGCTGCATGCAAATCATGTGATACAAATAACGCATCCAATAATTCTTGATGCCAATTTTTTAATGCTATACTTATTCTATCGACTTTATAAAAATAAAAATCCAAAAGTTTCTATATTTACAGTAGCAATTATTTAGAAACTTATTCTATGCCTGTTCTTCATTCGCTGTTGGTACACCGACATTTTCAAACACATTTATTTTGTGATGTACAGTTATTTGCCACTGATATTCTCATACAATTTACTCTATGTTCAGAAAATTTAACAATGTTTTTTATTATTGCGAAAATTGCAAAAAGAAAAACTTGCATTTTAAATTTTGATACCATTATTTAAAATATGCAGTATATTATGAAATTGCAATAAATAATTTTGCATTCTTGTTCAACAATCTCACTTATATGCATGCAATGATATCTGAACTTACAGTATATCATTGTCTTACCAATTTAATCCTTTGTGTGTATTGATGTTGACATTTTGTGTGTTTACAGATGTGATCATGTGTCGTAGTGGAAGACTTTTGACTGGCAGTGTGGGTAAAAACTTACGAGTATGGTCGATAGTAGGTGTCGGTGAACTGAAGCTACCTGGTGACCACAACAGTATGAGAACAGGTGGTCTGACCATGGAGGATGAGATGAATCTGGATGGATCTATTGTTACAGCAGCTTTTGATGAAGCTTTAGATATGGTATTATTTGTAGCTCATTTTTAATTATACCCCCTTTCTTATGACGAAAGAGGGAATATACTGTTTTACCCCTGTCTGTTTGTCACATTTTTCTCAGGAACTACAATCTGATTTTCTTGAAATTCGTTAAACGGCTTCATGTGAGCAAGCTTTACTGTAAAATGCTCATCAACTTCCTGAATGCTCATAGCTGACATATCATTTGTGAGGAATAGCTCACAGTTCAATTTATTCATCTTCATCTAAAAATCTTACTGACACTCCATCTTGTTCGAGCAAATTTTCCTATATTCAGTTTGTTAATAGTTCAATACATTCACAAGAGCTGCCTTGTTCTGTTTCACATCTTGTAAAGACGATTTATAGCCCGACTGTTTTCAATGTTGAATGTCATATAGTTTTCTCTAAATGTTTAAATGTTTATTTACTAGCAAACTCACTGTGTACATTGCTGCTCTTGTAGTATTGCCAACATTTTATATTTTTAACTGATCACTAAAAGCATTATTTTACCAAAAAAAGAAATTATAGTGTTTTATTCAGGATTCTGTCTTTCTGTAAGTCTTTCTGGTAATATAGATTGGCAAATTTATAGGGGGCAGCCAATACTAAACCATTTACCTTGTCATGTTATTTTATGCTCAGACATATAGTTCATTTCATAATCATTTATTTCACTGATATCATTTGCAACTAAAATACAAAAAAAAATCTTCCTATCGGTAGTATGACCATATGATTCAGATATATTATTTTATTTCAGGGGATAGTTGGAACCAGCAGTGGTACATTGTGGTATATAAACTGGCCAGAAAGAACCAGTATACGACTGGTTTCTAGTCACATGGCAAAGGTAAATAGAAGTATAAGTAATTTCCAATTAATGAAGTAAAAATGTATGTTTGACTATTCAAATATATCTGACAGATTCAAGGAAAAGATAGTAGATCATAGTAGGTAATAAAGCCATGCTTCTAAGTAAGTTATCATTAAGTTTAAGCAGTCAAGTGCGATACCAATCTCTTATTTAAGGCAACATATATACACCTAAGAATATCCTCATGCAAGTTTTTCAATAGAGCCATTTTACTAACTTTTGATTAGATGCCTTCTAAATTTTCTATTTTCTTCTCTCAACAATTGCAATATGCACAAAACAGCGTATATTGCACTCTTGGTGCAGTTGGGTTTTTTTTATTTTCTGTACAATGAAATATTCTATATCAATTAACTGAAGAATATCATCTGTATAAATGTCAGAAATTGAGTGACTAGTCATACTATTCCAGGTGTTTAAAGTTTATTTTTGAATACTAGATACTACCTAAACTCCTATGCCAGTTTTTGTAATACTATACATTTCTCATATGATCAGTTTATGTAGCAGTGGTATTGGCATTGTAAGACATGCTATGTATTTTTCAGGTGAACAATTTATCCTTATGTAACAGTGAAAATTTTGCATCTTGTGCTGATGATGGGAGTGTAAGAGTGTGGTCTATAGATACCAGAGAACAGACTTTACAATTCCAAGTTTTAGACCAGGTAATTAGTTCAGTATATAACTGAATGATTAATAGGCCTAATAGTTCAGTGTTCCAAGAATTATAGAAGAAGTTTAACGTCATTAAATGCTTAGCGGTCATACACTTAAAGGCTAATCACTAGCCTGTTAACACTGATGTGAGTTCAAACCCTGCTTCTGCAAGGTGTGTTAAATGACTTAGAATGCTAGTTTTTCTTCCGAAGGTCACGGTTCTTTCCTGATACTCAGGCTTCCTCCAATGAAAACAACTGGTCACCAAGAAATAGCCAAGTGTGCTTAAAGTGGTGTTAATCACCAACAATAAATCAATCAATCATACATTTACACTATCAGGAGCAGTTTTCAGAACCACTGTTCAGTATCAGTGCCGTAATGAAATACAATGCATAACAAGGAGCAACTCTTATTCACATTTTGTTTCTGCTTTGAAAAATTGTACCTGTTTTGCTGTTTTTTTTGTTATTGTCGAGAAAAAAAATAATATTGTGCTATTTGCCTTACAGTTAAAAAATGAGAAAGGTCAGCAACATTATTTCATGAAAAGAATAAGCTACAAATGATTTACTGCATAAGGATTCTTTCGAATTTTCAGGCATGTACTTGTATCGCCTTCTCTCCCGTAAAACCAGACGGCATTGTTAGGACAACTGTTAGTAACACAGACTCTGCCCCAGTCACAGCCCACCAGAAAATTGATGCTAAGTTCATGCCTCTGATAGCAGCTGGCTATAGCGATGGTACAGTACGAGTATTTGACATAAACAAAGCAGAAATGATATTGAAGATGCATCCACATGCTGTAGCAGTCACTGCTATTAATTTCTCTTCAGATGGTAGGTTTAATGTCTTATTTCATCAAAAAAATAAGGGGCCCAGTGGCCAAGTGGTCTTTAATAGTAGTTAATTTGCTGTATCACTAGCCAGTCAACACTGAGGTTGGAAGTTCTAACACCAAACATGGCAGGTGCTGTCGACTCCAATCTTAATTGACTAGGATTGCCAAATTTTCAGTCAAAGATTAGAGGTTCTCTAGGCTTCCTCCATCAATAAAAAAATGGCAACCATGAAAATGCCAATGGTGGTGAAAGTTGAGTTAAACACCAAATTATCAATCAATCATTCAAAAACATTAGAGATGATTTGGTTATGGGTCACACATAAAATACTTGGGGAATAGAAATTGGACCTGAAGAGTTGGACATCCCTCCCTTCCTGAGTTTAATAATCAAGTATATATTGATTCTGGGAAGAGAGTGAATTTCCTATTAACAAATTTTGCATTTAAAAGAGACACATCAGGGGTGGATCCAGGATTTTGAAATCGGGAGCTTTTTTTCCCATAAAACAGATTATGTACCACAAAATTTTGGGCGATATTACGCTAAAAAATCATATAAATTGTGAAAAACATGATTATAATGGCCATAGTTACACATGACAAACAAAATATATAAAATCGAAAAAAAAGGCAAATATAAATTTTGACTAATAAAATGTTGTTAAAAAAAATACCATATTTTTTTTTTAAATTTGCCAAAGGTTTAATCAAATGTTTCATAAGTTTGATGAATTCATGACTTTTTGGTTTACAATAAAATCTGAAACTTTTAAAATAATCATGTCAATTATGACCTGTTTACTCTTATTTTACCATTTATCTTTTCGTTGTTTTTTAAAAAATTTTGGCATGGTGTGGTTTTTTAAAAAATTTTGGCATGGTGTGATGAGTTTTGAATAGTCCCTTTGGTATCTTCCACCTCTTTTACATCCAGACAAACATGCATTTATTTTTCCAGGGAGAATGGTAATAACAGGAGGAAGTGATGGACTTATTGCCATTAGTAGTCCTACTACTGGAATGACCGTCAGAGTGATATCTGACCACAAAGGAGCACCAATTACAAACATTGATGTGACTATCTGTCAAGAACAAGAACTTTCAGTCTCTGCCCCACAGCTTTGGTTGGCTACCAGTGCTGACAGGCGTGTTAGTGTTTGGTCTGCTGATTGGTCTAAAGATTTTTGTGAGCTTGTTGATTGGTTAACATTTCCAGCACCAGCTTTTACTCCAGATGGCACTGTTATAGCCAAACAAGACCAGAAGGTATTATTTCTTACTGAAAGTTTATTCAGTTTATTTTAGAAATTGAAACTTAACATAAGTACAAATAAAGTATAAAGAAGGAATCTTAAGTATCAGAAAATTTAGTAGTGGACAAGTAGATAGAAGGTTATTTATAGAATATGAGAGATATGACCACTATACTTTAAATCAAGAGGGTACATTTTCATTACCTAATTGATCTAACCAATTGTTACTGGTTCAGCCGGGACATTGTTCAAAATGATTCCCCTTCCAGCATTTTTATCTTGAAGACTTACACTTCTCTTGATTAGATATTCACATAGGCTTATTATGAAATTACTATATTATAGGTCTTTTTTAATGAAATTTCTCAACTATTTTTTGGTGACATCAGAGGCCTAAGCTTGAAAAAACTAACTGGGCTGGCTCACTTGTAAGGGCCAATTTCCAAAATTTGTGAAACTATGCTAAGCAACAGGTGTATTAACCTTCATCATAAAAAGACAAAGGGTAAAAATTTGTTTTTTCTCTGATTAAAATCTAGCAAATTGAACCGAGATATTATTTGAACTATCCTTAGATGGTCTATTCCTTTTCTTGTATTAGATAACTGAACAGATTGAAACAAATCCTCCTAATATGCATAGCTTAACATAGGATTTTATGAAGTAAAAAAAAAAAACAATAGCAAAAAATTCAAAATTTACATTTCTTATCATTCTAGCATTTCTGGTATATAATAATTTTCTGTGTTATTTTAGGGACTATACAGCCAACTACCACCTAGCATAGCTAAGTTTTCTCCAGAAGAATCTGACATCATTGTTTATGTTGGTTATGGTATGGAGAAATGTATACAATTTTATAGCTTATCTGAGCGAAAGGTAAATGATGATACACAGGCATTTCTTCTTCTTATGTTGATATGCATTCAATGATTTACTCAAGTATGCCTAAAATACTACAATCAGGATAATTTGGATAATTCCTTGATGCTTTTTTTTAGCACTTATAAATGCAAGGAATAACAAAGATATTTTTATTCATATTTTATTCCAGGTGTTGAAATGTCTTATAAAGGTAAATGAGACCATGAATACACTACACAAGGTTACAGGAAAAACATCTTGAGAAAAACTCAAGCAAATTGAAGATTTGATAAAAGAATACATTAAACAAGAAGCCAGGAAAACATTATGCAATGGTTGTCACTGTTCAGAAATAAGCAACACACCAGAAATACCATATTGAAAATTCATACATAGCAAAGGGATATTCAAACTCATAAGTCGAAAACAAACTGACAATGCCATGGCACTAAACGAAAACAACAAAAAACAGTACACAAAACATGGAAAACTAAAGACTAACCAACACAAACCCCACCAATAACCGGTCGGATTTCAGGTGCTCTGGAAGGGTAAGCAGATCTTGTTTCACATTAGGGACAGTCCCACCCCCATCCTGTTGCTCATGTCAGTACACAACCAGTGAAAAGTCTAATTCAGAAGGTCACATTCAAGGAAAAGAGGATGGGATTGTGGTTAAAATGTTTGGAGCATATCAATTGTCATCTGTGAAACAAACTGCTGCTGATACAACGCAGAAGATTTCATCTTAAATAAAATGATAAATACTAGGACATACATTTTCTTTTGAAAATAACATTGCAGTTCACTGTTACTTAATGCTTTTTTACAGGTGTTAAGGACACAGGCTCTGACACACTGGCCCATGTGTATGGACTTGGCCCAGTCTACAGCACTTGTATCTCTTGGGGCAAATGGTAAGTACATTGATTTAGACAAATGTGTTTGTTGCCATATTCTACACACAGCTATATTAGTCATTGTTGCTGTCTTGTTGTGTAAGCTTTAGAATAAACAGTGTTTGTCCATTCAGTACTGTACAGAATTTGACCAAATTTAACAGGTAAATAGTTTGTGTCTCAAATAAGACTTGCCTTACAAATGACAATTTCTTTTTGTAGTAGTAAGGCCAGGGGTGTTTCTAAAAATATATATAAGGTTTGCCAATTTACTTTTCATTTTTAATCCTCACTACAAATGTGACTTTGGCATATACATTTACACTTATATGTGTGGTACTGGTCTGGTTAAGTTTTGTCTCTGGGTCAATTTCAAGAAACCCATAATGATTTATCAGTGCCATTTCAATATCACATTTCCATTATACAATAAAGAATGTTTCTGTTCCTGTGACATACATTTTAAACTTTTTGTGTTTTGCTTTTAAAAGTCCATTTCTAAGAAGTCTTTCACAATAAATCAGTGAGATTTGTGATTTATCCACTAGAATCCTCAAAGAAAGGTACATCAGAATTAAGCTACCCTTCCATCTGCAAACCTATATTTTAAACATGGGTGACTAATTAAGTGTTACAAATAGGTCCTGTACAAAACACATGATGACTCATCAGTGATAAATGCTGCTAAAATTATCAGCGTAAGAATACATGAAATAATTCCTACTAAAAGCAACAACAACAAAAAAAAAAACACATGTCAAGTGAAATAATTCATAAGCATAAAAAACAAGTTATTTTTCAGATGATATATTTATTTACATATACATATTAATGTTAATAAGACTTTACTACATTTTTACAAAATAATGTTTTAATACATAAACCGTCTATTTCAGAACGAGTGATGAAGTTGTTAGATTACTATGAAGGCAGTTTTCAGGATTTTGTAGGTCACAGTGATTCAATAAACTTTGTTAAATTCTCACCAGACAGTAAATATTTATTGACTGTGTCACATTCCGAAATATTTATCTGGGAAGTGCAAGTATGATAGTGAATTAGCAAAGAGTATTGTTTGACTTTGAACTGTAGAGTGACCATTGAAGTAGTTGCTTAAAAATAAATGAATAATGTGGCTGTTTTATATTTCTGAGGATAACTGAGACAGAGGAGTAGAAAGTTTCAACAAAATGGTTTGCATTCAAGGAATCACAATTTTAAATGACATCTCACAAACAAAAGTCTATATTCACTTATTAAGCAGTGTCTTTAATATTGCTTAAAAGTTGGAATTAAAAATGCCATAGCAAAAATATGCAAATGTGAAATGAATTTGCAGTACATGCAGTAGGTGTTATCTTTTATAAGCATTTAGATATCATTTATATATATTCTTAAACTTTCTGGTAAGTTTTGCCAATTGTAGTATTCAAAACTTTATATGTTAAATATAAGTTTAAATGAATGGTATTTTGGGATAATCTCTATTGTTATAAATATGATCTAAACAATCTTTTATGTGTGACAAAGTCTTTGTATATTATTATTGCTTCCGTCCACTAGTGCTGTAAAATATTTGTTACTGTATACTTAAACAAATGTAATGATTATGTATATAAAATATGATGATTATACTTATCTGTGAATAGATAATAAACTAATTTATTAAAGTACTTTTATATTTACTCTAAACATGTTCATGTTATTTTCTTTTGATTAGCAGTGTAAAATGAATATTCAAACATTACCGTTTCTCGAATCTCTGTCGAAGAGTTTAATGAAGTTATATATAGAACAAAGCATTATGCCATAATGAGCATATTAACATGGTCAGGGTCAAAAATTCAATTTCAGAGTTTAAAGTGCCATAATTTGGACAGGGTCAAAAATTCAATTTCAGAGTTTAAAGTGCCATAATTTGGACAGGGTCAAAAATTCAATTTCTGAGTTTTAGTGCCATAATTTGGAATTAGAAAAACAAGCTTTTCTGTATTTTGAAACAAACCATTGTTGACTTAAGAGGTCAGCTAGAACGAATACATTTGATGTATTCTAATGTATGACTCTTTCAGACTTCTTTGACCTGCCACATTTTTTGCCTAGTTTCCAATCTATCAAGGATCATAGAAACTCCTGAACAGCAAAAGTGAAAATCATTGATTTTGAAATTTGACCTTCACTTTGTCATCAGTAACAATATGTTAAAATTTAAAAAGCATTTGTTGAACAGTTCATAATTTGTTGTACAGGAAGAAAATAAAGCCACAATATCTAATCTTTGAAGGGCCAAAACTCCTGAACAGTAAAAGTGAATATAATCAATATCGAACGAACTTGACCTCATTTTGTCATCAGTAGCAATATATTAAAAAGTTAAAAAAGCATGGGTTGAACAGTTCAGAAATTAATGGACAGAAAAATTTGGCAGTCGCTTCACTTCACCATTTTTATAACCTAGAAAACCCCAGTTAAAAAGCATTTGGTTAACCACATGTCAACCTGCATGCCATGACACTACAATGTAATCTTTTCATATACATACATCAAACAAAGCATACAGCAGGATTTAGTATGACAAAGCACACTCTGAAAATGTTCAAAATTAACTACATTAAAAACTAATAAATACAGACATGATTACATGTCACAATCTATAACTAATATTTATGCAAACTTAACATATAAAAAATTCTATACAGACTGAGAGGGTTTAGTTCAAAGTTTCACTTCATTGTGTATAAAAATAGACATCTTCAAACAAGTTTCACTGCTGTAATACATTATAAAAAAGATTATCCATGCGTTACATTGCTAATTGTACATTTGTAAATGTGCATTTCTTTAACAAATAAAGTTAATAAAATTGACCACACATAACATGTCAGTTTTTTAATTATTTTCTCCATGTCAGCGTTTTGTATAACTTTTATAATGAAACCTGAACAAAGTTTTGTTATAGCATATTAAAATCTAGTCACCAGTCTTCCTCTATCATGTCCCATAATGAGTTTACTATGTCATATTTTGACATTTGTTCTTTGTTGATGGAGAAAGGTTTAACTTCAGTATTTCCACAAACATCTGATTTCAAAGTTAAGAAAACATAAATAAGAATCAATATAACATGTATAATAATAAAAGAGTTGAAGAAAATCTCAGTGTGTTAATTTTTGTACTGGTTATTCCAATGAACGTGATGAACGAATAAAAAATCTGTAAATTAATGATAAGATTTTCTTTCACATCCAACCTTGGACTCTCATATTCAGTTTCATAATTTACATTTCTCAAGATGTCTTTCAAACTCTTACCAAAGTTATAATTGAAAATTAACGAAAAGAATTAAATCCTCCACCCCTTCATAATGATGAGAAATCGAAAAAAATATTTGTTGTCCCACATATTAACACATCAAAACAAATAAAATTTTAATAACTTTCTCTTTCTGTTGTTCTAACATTTATAAATTTATAATGAAAGGAATTTTCATAAACAGGGAACTATTAAGTAACCACTTTTTTACTAAACCTTGAGATTAAATTTGTTACTTGATTCATAGCTCTAGGATTTCTGATGAGCCAACTTTCAATGGACAATACTAAACAAACCAAAAACTGACTTTCCCATAAATAAATTTCTTTTCCCTTTCAAAAATGCCTGTATCTCTTTTTTTCAACTTGGCCATGGAGAAATAACTCCAATTTAACTTTTCTTTGAACAAAATTTACTTTTCCTTGGTGACGAGAGTTCTAGAGCACTGTTTATTACAAGATTTCCAGTCTATAGTACCACATATTATTACCAACATTTCCGACCATTTCTAAACAAACACCAACCTAAAATAGAGAAATTTATAAAGTCTACTTCTTCCAAACATGAAACTGAATATCATGTTTGTTCAATAAGATGGTTTGTGAAAGACCTGGTTTTTAAAAGACAGTTTAACTTTGGGCCATAAAAAAGAATATGTTTGTTTGCCCTAACCCTACCTACCCAGAAAATAGCTGCCTACTCAAAATCTTTTATTGTCCTGATGTGAAAAAGTTTTTTTAATCAGATATGCATGAAGACTAAAAAACATCTGACACTTCAATTTCTCTTTGCCGAAAAAAGAAAAGAAAATGCCTACCTACCTACCCACTGTCTCTACCTTTGGGTAGGGTTTGGGCAAACCAAAATATTTTCAAGTGTGGCCTTGGCAGTTTTTACTTTTTTTTAGCAAGTACAGGAGTTAATTCAGAAAAGAACATGGAATGTAAAATGTAAAATATATATATAAAAAAAGGATACAGCCTGTAAGTTCATTTTGTGGTGTGTCCAACTGCCAGTGTAAGTTAGTAATTAACTTGTACAGTGTGATGTCATGTCTGAAAAGATAAAGTATATTATGATATAGAAATATTATGTATTAATTTTTATATTTTGCAATGTTCATTTGAGATACCACCTTTGTAATATAGGCACACATTTTTCAAGTAACAACATACAGCATTATAAAAAGCAGGGATTCAAATTTGCTTTAAATAATGAAAGGTCCAGGACAGTTTGAAATTTTAAGTGAAGGGTTCTCCATAAGAAATCAATGATCGTGTATCAAGCATCACTGTAAAGAATGGTAGGTCCTTGACTTTTGTAATTTTAAAATGAAAAATCTTCTCCTAGAAAAGACATGTCCCAGACCTCGGACCCACACTACAATGAACCCCTGAAAAGGTTGGGACAGATCCTCATAAATTGGCATTATACCCAAAATCAAGTATCAATTTTCAGTGAAAAAAAAATGAATGTAGTATTTCATCATAAGTGCCAACATGTTCATGTTAATGGCAACATTTTCAGAATTCCCCTTTGAGACCATAGTTCAAATGAGAACTGAATTAAAGTTAATTCCCACCAAAAATTTGATTGTGTGAAGGCCTTAAACTTTTATCCTAATGATATTTTAGTCATAGTGTCTTTTTGCAAAATGTTGGCTTTTACATGAATGTTTATGCCATGACCGCTTATATCCTAAAAAATCCAAAGTTAGATTTTTCATCACTGAAAATTGATACCTGCTTTGGGGTATAATACCAATTTAATATGAAGATCTTCCCCAACCCGATAAAGTTAGCAAATGATAGGTTGTACAAATACACTGTCATTAAATGAATGAAATGTTTAATGTATCAAGTTAAACAGTGAATAATGTGTGAGGCTTCCTAGAAAGATGTGTGTCGCTTGTTGTATCCAATAAAGCAGATTTATAAAGATCATGTTTTGTTCTGGGAAACCCCAAAAATCACACAGATAAAAAATCAAAATAGCAAGTGCACAACTTCATGCTTTGTGAAAGAGTTTGTGCAAGGCTCACATTCATGTTTTGTAAGTCCTTACCTGCACCATCAGAAATTCTTCTTATGACTATTGAACAGCATCAAAGGTTCTAATCATAAAGTGCGAAACACATATTTTGACACTCTTTGTTTTTCTAATAAATTATAATTTTAGGAGTTGTCAATGATCCATACATGCACAATTCTTGAATAAACAAAATTTTTCCCAAGTCAGTGTTTTGATATTGACCATTAATTCTACAGTAAATATTCTCAGAACTAGAACTGAGCAGTGAACAAGTAAATCATGAATATTATTTCTATGGTCTAAAGTACCTTGTTTTAGGTATTGATATTTTCTTCTGTTTTTCAACTTCCTGTCTTTCTATTTCCAACTTTTGTGATTCTTGTTGGCAAGCTTCCAAATTTTGTTGCAATCTTTCACATGTTGATACAACATTAGCCAGTCCTTCTTTCTGTTTAGAAACTAATTGCTCCAAACCCTGGCCTTCTTCATTCAGATGGAGGCATGCTGTTTGGCTTTTCTGGTAGTTGGCTTCTTCGGCAGACTCCATTTGCATAACTTCTAAAGTAACAAAGTTTTTTTGGTTAAACTATAGTTCAACATCATATGTATCATCATAGATTATATCTTTAATTTTTCTAAAAATTCTAAATTTGTTAAAAATTAAATTAATTCGAAAAAGATTAAAGTTTGCATATATAACATTCACTGGCAAATATTCAATGCATATAGGCCAGGGATGATAACATGCTCAAGTCATATAAATACAGTGTATACCAAATTTTGTACTAGGCAGAAGCTGGGTTAGAGGTTAAATGTGATAACTCACAAGATAAAAGTCAGATTACATGTCACCTCGGAAAAGCAACAGAAATGTTTTACTGAAAGAAGGCAGACTATGAGAGGTAAACCAGTTAACCCTGATCCACCCCTTTTGGATCAGGGATATAAAAATCTTTCCAGTAAAACCATACTCTGACATACCCAGTTTTACGCTTTGTCTTATTTTGAACATTAATACAACACTTTCTAAAGTTTTCAAATTTGAAATTGTGATAAAAACATATGTATTATCATCATTAAAATACCACTATTTCTGATATCTGCTCTCAAACTGTGAAGCATAACAGACTATATGATATGGAATTGGAAAGATTTTATAAATTTCTATGCAATAAAATCACATGTTATATTTTAATAAAGATTAAAATATTTTTGGAAAAGTAGGCTTATTTCAGGCCCAAAACAGTTACATTGTTACCTTGAATTATATTTTTTGTCTGTGTCTTTTGTATTTCTCTTATTTCTAATATTTTCTGCCATTCTTTAACAATATTGTCAAGTAAAGTATTTTCAATCTTTTCATTATCAATAACTGTTATCAACTCCTCAGCAAGGCGTACAATATACTCTGGTTCATTCAGGCTTTCATCCATCTTGTCAAACACTCAATGACCTGAAAGTACAAATTTAGAATTACATATTTTTATTTATAGGTTCTTTCATGATATGAGATCACATAAAAAAATCAAGGTTTACTCCAGTGAATCCTAGTGGATTGGAATGAGAGATATCAATTGCAAGTGAAAGGAAGTCTAAGTTTTTTAGCAATAACTTATATAATTAGTGTTTATTGGTGATAAATATGTAACTGTCTTTTTTATTTAGAAATGTTATGTTTGTACTTTATGTCATGGTTTTATACTGTTATTATTGCGCTTATTGATTTTCATTGTATGTTTTTTCATGTACATGTACCTTTTGTAATTTCACTGACTAAAATAAAATGGAGGAAGGGCTGAGATATTACTTCAGTTTTTCTCCGTTTTACTATTTCATATTTGCTTTCCAGTGCCTTTTTAAAAACTTCTTCATGGTATGGGTTTTGCTCATCATTAAAGGCTGATTAGTGACCTACAGTTGTTAATTAACATCTTTGTCTTTTGGTGGACATGATAGTTTTCTCATTGGCATTCCTATATCACCACCTTATTCAAAATAACCATTTGCTGTGAAAATAACTTATTATACTTTCTATTAAGTGTTATGGCATAATATCTTTTAAACTTTGGCTAGTACAGGGATAATATATGAGAATAAGATGCATTTGCTTGTTTACTATCCTGCTTAATGCAGGATTCCCAAAAGTTCACATTTATAAGGTTTATACACACAGTGTGTGTTCTCATGTGTAAAAGTCATTTGTTAGAATTGGTTTTTCTATAATTTTAAAATAAGTATTTCATACAGGTGATATATTCTAGTTGATTTGCATGTTAAACAGTCAATTGGGTTAGTATTACGCTAAGATAAACATCTTAATTAAAGAATTAGAGTAAAAATGGTATAAAAACAAAATGAAGTCAATTTGACCTCTTTATAAGGCAAAAGGTACATCTGAGTTCAAACGTTGCATATAACAGGGGAAGTAACTCTAAAAACCCAAAATATCTACAGTGTATTAGTAAATGATGGATTATTTTCATGATTTTTTCAACGTTTGCTTATTTATGCCTTTTTTTTTTTGCTGTAGAATAGTTATTTGTTAAATTAACAATTATTGGAAAAAATGCACTGTTTAAGCATTGCCATTGGACATTAGCTTTTCATTACCCTGATTACTGTGAAACATGCATTCACAATTATTTTAGAACTTCTTGCAATAACGTTTTACACTATCCTTTTACCATGCATATGTTTACTGAGCTTTAGACTTTGAACGAGAAAAAAATCACAACAATGGACAAGCACCCATACTGCTTGACAGACTGTAGACCATTTAAGAAAACTTAAATACATTGTATTTGGGAATAAGCCAGGACTTCTTCCCTTGATATTCGAGTTTAATTTTTTTTGGAGATATTTTTAGATTTTTGAAAACTGGGATTAATATTATGTATTATTTTGAATATTTATGTCTTGCAAAATCATATATTGCAGCTGTTGATTTTTCTATTACACGAAAATAATTAAATACATATATTAATTATCTTAATACAAGTTTTATCTTTTTTGCAATAGGGACACATGTGTCACTCATTAGATTATGAAAAAGAGAGTTTTCCAAACAAACTAAAGAATAATTACAAACTTGAAATTATACTAATACAAAATATATTATAGGATGTGTTCTCCCAAGGATTTTTGGATAACACCAGGGTCAGCAAGGAGACAAATTAGATATATACATCAAACATAATTTGATCGTGTCACAACACATTTCCTCTATCCTCATGGATAGTTAATTTTTCAATGTCTATATAGACAGTACTAAATCCTAGCATGAAATAGTTCTATTCGTTTTCATTCAACTATCTTCTCTAATTACAGCTGGACAGTGAAGTAGAGAAAGCAAATATATATTCTACTTTCAGTCAAGGATAGAGTATTTAATACTGATTTCAAATCATTATTAGTATTTAAGGTATTATCTCTCATTTACAATGTATCATTTCTGTATGTATACAGAATTTGATTTTTATGAAATTACATTCCATTTTTACAGTTTGTTAGGCCACATTTAAAAGAATGTCTGTTTCCCCTTCCCCGGGTCTACTCTTTGAAAACAGACTAGGCAGGCAGGTACTTTTTTTTCCCCAACTGGATGTCATGGATGGTTTGACTTGTAATCTGGAGGCCACTTATCAGCTGTTTGTGCTCAATTTGAGTGTATTTATTTAGATTATCAATCCTTTTGCTTTCAAGCACTATTCAAAACATGCACATTTAGTGCATTAAACTAATGTAGCATTTAATAAAGTGTATATTTACTATTTTCTGATTTGACAGTTATTAAAGCTTTTATTACTACATTTGTAACATGTTGATACAGAAGACTCCGGCAAATCGGATACCCATAATGTCAGCAAAAAACATCCCATACCTGATATATTCAATTAGACGATAAATGTATATTCATTGAATATTCTGCAAAAATGAGTTGACCTAATCCTGAGATGTTAAAAGACCTAACCACTGCTATATATAAACGGGTTGGAGTGATTTTTATCAAGTACATCACTGCAATGAATGTGTAAAAAACTTATCTGACAGCCGTACTGTTGCCTATAGTTGCTTTCATCCACTTTATTTGAACTTTTGGCGGAGAATTGTCTTATTGGCAATCATACCACATCTCCTTATTTATACATGTAATGCTCATATTTATTTTTCAGTTTTTTAACCCAATATTTGTTTTTAAATAAATCAAATGTCCTGAAATATTTATGTGAATAAATATCTATCATCCATAGTTTGTGTCTTTATTTGTTTTATAAATGAAGTTATATCCCATATTTATATTTGTATTCAGTGTTCTCTCCAGGATTTGTAAATAGCACCGACAAACTAGATATTTGCATCGATAATAATATGCATCGTGTTGCAACTCTTTTTCATCTATACTTCTTAAGGTTAGTTATCATAGGGTTCTTTCATTTTTGATTATCTTTTATCCATTGGAGTTTTTCTTTTCTCTTGTTGACATTATTGCAGTGAAAGAAATTATATTCTCCATTCAGTCATAAGCATGAAGAGAATTGTCAATTTTTATTTCTACATGTACTTATAACACTAGTCTGGTTTCAACGAACTTGTCTAGCTGAAAATGTCTGGACCACGAGGGGGATTTTTAAAGACTTTGACTACATATGAGGGTTTTCCTCGGTAGGTCTGGACGAGGGTGGTTTTTAATGCTCTGAACTACCCATGAGGGTCTTGCACGGTCGGATATAATACATTGTAGGTCTGGTAAGATACAATGAATACAAATACTGGCTTGATCTTATTGGGAGTATTGAAGATATAACCTTACATTCCAGTTTATAGTTTATGGCAATTATTTGTTTACTTATAAATATTCCTAAGAGTAAATATATTTTTAACATGAGAATTTCGAAATAAGCAAAAATAGCAGTAACTCTTTTTGGATTTATAATGAAAACATTGTTTTTGCTGTTTAAAAAATACTCATCATACCTTTTGGTGAAATTACAAAACCTTTTCAAATGTACTAAAAACAGTGATTGTCCAAAGTAAGTGTGGCTGGTGTATAAAACTTATATTAAATCAACTGCCACACTGGAGGTAAACCAGCGGTCAAAATGAAAGTTGTTTGTTGTAAAAGAGAAGGAAGACTCATTAAAAGAGACAGGATATATGATATGCTAGCTTGGACACATTGCTTAATAGATAATAAAAATATGCATAATTGTCAATTATAATTAATTAATGGACCAACAGTTAATCTTTTATAATCAAGTATAAACAATTTTTTGGCATGTGTACAACTATCGCCGTATCGGCATTGTAAATGTCCCAATTAAAATTTCTGACTGCATCACTGGTCTACGCTTGGGTAGTGAGTGGAGCCATAAAATTGTTGTCAGGAGTCATAAATTATCCCCTTATTATTTAATCACAAAAGAAACAAGTTACAAGTTCTAATTGATTGATTAAATCCAATCTGCAACAGGTAACCCTCTTCAGGTAAATCAATCACCTGTTGTAAGTATCAATGTGCTGGTTGAATATCACCTGTAATTTTTATACCAAACAGATACAATTTAATAAGTCACAATTTTACCGAATTAATGATTTCTTACCAAAAATTATAGTACCACAAAACCGAAATATAGGACCACACGAGGAATGATAGAAGTTATAATCAAAATTAAATAGCATCCATGACATGTGGTGAAGCACATGTTACATGATTATATCTGACAAAAGTCAGATTTCTCTTTTGTTCCTGCCGGTGGGTAACACTTTTGATGCGTCCTTGTACTTAATTCGTACAGAAAACGACAATGCGATCTTGTCACCCTTCTTTCAAGCAGACAGTTTACCCTCGATACATACCTCTAAATTGATAGATAACTCCTGAGAGTTCAGAGAAGACTTCCGGTAATATCAGAACCAATGTCGGAATGGAAACTAATAATTTTCGGGAATAAAAAAAAATCCGATTTTTTGGGGTCAAATAATTTTTTGACCCGGCGGCTTATTTTTGACCCGGTCGGGGCGAGGGGAAACAAATATGGTTTTTATTTTGACCTTATATCCATTGTTATTTATAAATATTCTTAGAATTTTAAAATAGCCAAAAATAAGGGAGTAACTCTTCATGTATTTATTATGAAATGTTTTTTGCTGTTTAAAAAATACTCATCATACCTTAGGGTCCAAATTAATTAAACTCATTCAATTAACAGCCAAATTAGAAGAAAACTGGCAGTCAAAAATAAATATTTTATTATTGTAAAAAAGAAGGAAAATTCATTAAAAGACACAGGATATGATGGCTAGCTTGGACAACTTGCTTCATACAGAATAAAAATATGCATAATTATCAATTATCATTATTAAATGAACATGATGAACCAACAGTTAATCTTTTACATGTATTAAGTATAAACAATTTTTCGGCATGTATACAATTGTCGGCATTAGATGCGTCCAAATTAAAATTTCTGATTTCATCACTGGTCAGTGCTTGGTCATTGTTGGTAGGTGAGCGAAGCCATAAAATTGTTGTCAAAAGTCATAAATTATTTCCACAGCAATTAAAACACAAAAGAATCAAGTTATAAATGCTAATTAATTGAATAAATCCAATCAGCAACAGGTAAACCTCATCAGGTAAATCGATCAAATGGGACATTTGTTTTAACAATCAACATGTTGGTTAAATTTCACCTAGAATTGTATTATATACAATTTTACACATTTTTTGACTGAAAATTATAGCACCAAGGAACAATAATATAGAATTGCTCAAAGACTGATAGGACCGTGGTGCTTTAAGGTTCATCATAACAAATGGACAAAAATGGCTGTATTTCCACCTCAAAAACTACTCTGAGTACAGACTAACCTGTGCAGTTGGAAAAGTTTTAATGCCTGGTATCAACTAGATATATAAAAGTTAAATGCATTTTGAGTTTCAGAAAGATAAAATCTTTTTTGGATTTTGATGGGCATTTTTTTTCATTCCTGCGGAATGTGTAAAAAAATATACTAAGTTGGGATACAACTTTGAGATGCTCCCTCTCAGTTAAAAAGTATTGATTGTCCTTGATTGACATAGACAATAGATATCTACACAACTATAGGTGATATAAAGGGTTTAACTGAGTGGACAGTATATCAATTAAAGCAATTCAGGTGTTTGTTTATTTTTACACCTTCTGCCATCAAAACCAAAAAAGATTATATCTTTCTGAAACACAAAATCCATTTACCTTATATATCTAGTGGATGCCAGGCCTTAAAACTTTTCCAACTGGACAGGTAAGTCTGTAGTTTTTGGGGTGTTAATATGGCCATGTTTGTCCATTTGTTATGATGAACCTTAAGGACCTAGGGAGAACACTGATAGGATTCCATAAATTAAAATGTAGAACAGTATAATGTCAAAATGACACATACATGTATAACATCAAAATTAAGTTTTACGTTCTCTGAAATTCTTTCCACAACTTAAAAATTAGGCATATGCTACAACGTTCATTCTAAAAACGATACTGTCAAAGACAAAGGGTTAGTGCTTATATAATCAAGTGTAATAGACATGCAAATTTTTCCACCATTATCCAAGTTTCATGGGTTTTCGTGCTATTAGGAATGCATTGTGACGTCATGATTTCCATTGAAAAAGCCTGCATAGTTCGAATTCATATGACGTATGAAAACATGATTTGACGACACTTTATACATGTAAAACAATACATCTTGTGAACAAATGGTGAAGTCATAATTTAAAAGTGATTGTTGCACGACATAAAAAGGTTATTCGAAATCAAATCTTGGGTCATTCGGAGACATTATGAATCATGATTATGGCTAATATAAAAAAAATGTCATTCCAGTCCTGTTCCTACATTGTCCTATGTATTATTATGATGTAAATTAGGAAATGAGTAAACAGTCCTCATTGTTCTATTTATAAATTACTCTAGTAGTATTTATGTCAAGTTCGACGAGCAATAACTGTAAAATCTCACCAAAATCGTTTGCAAATTTCTTTGTTTTTTATTTTGATTTTCAACTTCCCGCTTAGATTCTAATATTCAAAATCCGACCGGACACATTTCAGTTCCGGAATAACATATTTTTAATCACGTGATGTACAAAATGGTAGATGAAATAAAAACATGCTGATTGTGTTTGCTATTTTTTGAAAATGGGTAAATCATATAGACAGAAGAACCACGGCGATAAATCTGAAAACAAAAGAAAAGAAAGACATAAAGATCGACAGAAGTCGGAAATTGATTATCTTCCTGATGCTGATGATGGATATGCTTATGGGTTTCAAGGGGAGCAAGATGAAAAGGGTAATCTACATGTACATGTGTCTTTCATAATAATCATATGGAGAATGTGGAATTAAAAATGAAGAGCTGCTATCAGTAATCCAGCGTGCACCTATCAATCTCCTGTGGTGCAAATCTAGAATACACTGTATGGTATTGATAATCGGAGGTAGATGTACAATGATCGAACATAATTACAAAATTACAATGTAACAAATGGAAGTAAAATTTTGACTAATATATATAAATTGGAAAAAATTATAAGATGGTTTAACATTATATAAGAAACAATCTCATAAATCAGAAAAAAAGTACTAAATATATCAAAGGAACAGGACTTTAATTGTTGTTTCTGCTTCTGCCAGATAATGGCCACAATCAACAAACTAATTATACTGCCATGTTCTTCATCTTGACAGTTATTGAACATCTTCAATGATGACATATGGCAGAATTTGTTGCATCCATTGCAGCACATGTGCCAGTTATCACAGTTATATTTTGATTATTGTTATAAAGGATTATATACAGTACAAAATTTGTAGAATTGACATTTTAACAATCTATATCATTGTATATTGAAGTTTAACTTTTTGTAGTGATACAAGTAATACAATGGTGATGAGTTGTACCAGTAGTTTTTTTTTTAATTGTTTGAACATGCTGAATTGCAGTACTTTTCTCAGTCATATCAGTGCAATTGGTGAATTCAATAAGAAAAGAAAAGGTTTCAAAGGAATAATGCTAAATTGTCACCTTGACATGAAACATAAAGACTTACAGTTTTGAAATCTTCATGTTACCTATGCCTAATTTCTGTATGCTTCACCCCAGAATTAACTATAATCATGTAAAAATCAGATCTTAATACATTTTATCAAAACAAAGGTCAGATAAAAATTCAGGTGTTTAAAATTTTAACCTTATTTCTTCTGATTTCAGTTATTTTAAATTCTTGTATGGACATGACGGAGGGTGTTTCTGTCACTTTTATAATCATCTGTTTCTTTATAAGATTTAATAAATGAAATAAATAATAAACATGCATATAGGTGTCTTCAATGATTGCTTTAGTCCAATTTTATTGCATATTAGGAATTTTAGGGTGATGCCAAATAGTTTTTAACAAATTAGCATTTTTACAGGTGAAATGAGCAAAACAAATTATTTACTGAAAACCTAATATTATATGGTACCAATTGCAGGCATGAAATGATCAATACTTTGAGGTATTGACAAGGTGGATAAATGGTTATGGTACCATGGTTACCAGATTTGTTAATTGTTAATTTGCCAAACTCTGGGATTATCTGGAAAATAACTTAGATATGATTATTGCTTCGCTTCTTTGAGTTGTGGAATTTTCTACTAATGTTTTTCAGAAACCCCAGATGAAGCAATCGACTCCAAGTTTCCTTGTCCATTGGCCATGTGGGATCTGGAACACTGTGATCCCAAAAAATGTACTGGAAGAAAACTAAGCAGATTTGGAATGGTCCGTACTCTGAAGCTGAAACAGAAATTTGGTGGTCTTATCCTTAGTCCCATGGGACAAAAGTGTGTTTCACCAGAAGACAGGTAAAATATATATTATTTCATGTGTATTAAAAATCTGACTACATTCATTTATATTTTTGAGGACCAAATTTTATTATTAGAGAAAACAAATACTGGTTCAGTGATACTTATGGTCAATTAGAAATAACTGAGAGTGTTCTATAAACAGTTAATTTTTGTATTTGGCATGCTAAAGGAGGTACCATTTGATTTTTAGGGGGGGGGGCTAGGATGAAATTTGAAAAAAAGGCAGGACAGGAGTTGAGTAAAAAAAAAAAGGCAGGATGAGCAACTTGGCAAAAAAAAAGTCAGGATAAACTAATAAAAAAAATGGCAGTACCGAATAGAGTGAAAAATAAAAAGGCAGGACAAAATTTTTCATCCTAGCCCCCATAAAAATCAAATGGTAGCTCCCTAATAGATTCAAAATTGAAATATATTAAAGGATTTAAGATTTACTGTACAGGTACTTGTTTCAAAACTATGAGTTCTTGGAATTCATATATCTGATTTTTTGATGATATAGAATTTACTATGTCCTCCCCTCCATTACAGCTTGTTTTTATTTAGAATTGATAGCTATGTTTTTATATATTAAAGCATTAAAAGAAATTAAAAAAATTTAGGGTATGCATGCCCGTTTGAAAAGTTTGTCAAATCTAATTTCTAAGTTTTTATTATAAACATTCTGGAATTTACATGATTTAATAATGAAGTGAGATTGAAAATATATAATTGATAAGGAGATGGCATGAAATAACTTTATTTAGTTTCAATGGTTTAGACATTTTTATACGACCGCAAAAAAATTTTGTGGTCGTATATTGGTATGACGTTGGCGTCGTCGTCGTGGTCGTCGTCGTCGTCGTCCGAAGACACATTGGTTTTCGCACTCTAACTTTAGTTTAAGTGAATGGATCTTTTTCAAATTTGACCATAAGGTTAAATACCACAAAAGGAAGGTTGGGATTGATTTTGGGGGTTATGGTACCAACAGTTAAGGAATTAGGGGCCAAAAAGGGGCCAAAAATAAGCATTTTCTAGTTTCCAGACAATAACTGTGGAACGGTGTATGGATCTCTCTGAAATTATACTACAAGTTTCCATACCACAAAGGGATGGTTAGGATTTGCTTTGGGGGGTTATGGCTCAAACTGTTTAGGAATTAGGGGCAAAAAAGGGGGAAAAACAAGGTTGTCCTGGTTAATGGACAAATACTTTAGTACAAAACATAATTTAAAGCAGTGTAAGGGAGATAAATCAAATACATCATTGAAATTATCTCCCTTACACTGCTTTTAAATTATGTATAAAGTAATGGTTAATGAACAATAAAGATAATTTAAAACAGTGTAAGGGAGGTAATCCAAATACAACGTTTTGGTTACTTCCCTTACACTGCTTTTAAATTATGTTTAAAGAAATACATATTTATAAAGGAAGACCAGTAAAAATATCTGCAAATGTTGCATCTTTTTTTTTTACAAAAAAATCCATATGAAAGATTTGACACTATATTTTTAATTCTATTATAAAATAGATTAAGTTAGCACTATGGTAAATTTAAATGGGTAATTATGGTTGCCAACTCCATTGGAAATTTGAATTGAGATTATGACCATATCTTGAGGGAAAGAATTTTTTTGGGGAAAAAAGGGAGGGGATAAAAAGAAATTGTGGGGGGTCAATTTTTTCTCATTTCAGATTTCAGAAATTAAAAAGAATTATTCCTCAAATATTATTTTTTTTTCAAATTTCAAATATTGAAAAATTTCAAGAAGTAATCTTTAATTGCACAGTATGGCGCATTAGATTTGTAAAATCTTTGATCACATTTATTTATTTGTTATGCCGAATCTAACAGTGTATTTAGATTTTTAATTTTGGGTCCAGATTTCAAATTGGTCTACATTAAGGTCCAAAGGGTCCAAAATTAAACTTTGTTTGATTTTAGCAAAAATTGAATATATGAGGTTATTTGATATGCTGAATCTAAACGTAATTAGATTTTTGATTTTTGGCCCAGTTTTCAAGTTGGTCCAAATTGGGGTCCAAAATTAAACTTTGTTTGATTTCAACAAAAATTGAATATATGGGGTTCTTTGATATGCTGAATCTAACCATGTATTTAGATTTTTTATTTGTGGACCCCGTTATCAAATTGGTTCATATTGAGGTCAAAAGGGTCCAAAATTAAACTTTGTTTGATTTCATCTAAAATTGAATTATTGGGGTTCTTTGATATTCCAAATCTAACCGTGTATTTAGATTTTTAATTTTAAGTCCTGTTTTTTAAATTGGTCTACATTAAGGTCCAAAGGGTCCAAAATTAAACTTAGTTTGATTTTAACAAAAATTGAATTCTTGGGGTTCTTTGATATGCTGAATCTAAACATGTGTTTAGATTTTTGATTATGGGCCCAGTTTTCAAGTTGGTCCAAGATAGGGTCCAGTATTTAAACTTTGTTTGATTTCAACAAAAATTGAATATATGGGGTTCTTTGATATGCTGAATCTAAACATGTATTTAGATTTTTGATTATGGGCCCAGTTTTCAAGTTGGTCCAAATTGGGGTCCAAAATTAAACTTTGTTCGATTTCAACAAAAATTGAATATATGAGGTTCTTTGATATGCTGAATCTAACCATGTATTTAGATTTTTTATTTGTGGGCCCCGCTATCAAATTGGTTCATATTGAGGTCAAAAGGGTCTAAAATTAAACTTTGTTTGATTTCATCAAAAATTGAATTATTGGGGTTCTTTGATATGCCAAATCTAACCGTGTTTTTAGATTTTTAATTTGGGTCCCATTTTTTAAAATTGGTCTTCATTGAGGTCCAAAGGGTCCAAAATTAAACTTAGTTTGATTTTAACAAATATTGAATTCTTAGGGTTCTTTGATATGCTAAATCTAAACATGTGTTTAGATTTTTGATTATGGGCCCAGTTTTCAAGTTGGTCCAAGATAGGGTCCAGTATTTAAACTTTGTTTGATTTCAACAAAAATTGAATATATGGGGTTCTTTGATATGCTGTATCTAAGCATGTATTTAGATTTTTGATTATGGGCCCAGTTTTCAAGTTGGTCCAAATTGGGGTCCAAAATTAAACTTTGTTTGATTTCAACAAAAATTGAATATATGAGGTTCTTTGACATGCTGAATCTAACCATGTATTTAGATTTTTTATTTGTGGGCCCCGCTATCAAATTGGTTCATATTGAGGTCAAAAGGGTCTAAAATTAAACTTTGTTTGATTTCATCAAAAATTGAATTATTGGGGTTCTTTGATATGCCAAATCTAACCGTGTTTTTAGATTTTTAATTTGGGTCCCATTTTTTAAAATTGGTCTTCATTGAGGTCCAAAGGGTCCAAAATTAAACTAAGTTTGATTTTAATAAAAATTGAATTCTTAGGGTTCTTTGATATGCTAAATCTAAACATGTGTTTAGATTTTTGATTATGGGCCCAGTTTTCAAGTTGGTCCAAGTTGGGGTTCAAAATTAAACTTTTTTTGATTTCAACAAAAATTGAATATATGCGGTTCTTTGATATGCTGAATCTAACCATGAATTTAGATTTTTTATTTGTGGGCCCCGCTATCAAATTGGTTCATATTGAGGTCAAAAGGGTCCAAAATTAAACTTTGTTTGATTTCATCAAAAATTGAATTATTGGGGTTCTTTGATATTCCAAATCTAACCGTGTATTTAGATTTTTAATTTTAAGTCCCGTTTTTTAAATTGGTCTACATTAAGGTCCAAAGGGTTCAAAATTAAACTTAGTTTGATTTTAGCAAAAATTGAATTATTGGGGTTCTTTGATATGCTGAATCTAAACATGTGTTTAGATTTTTGATTATGGGCCCAGTTTTCAAGTTTGTCCAAGTTGGGGTCCAAAATTAAACTTTGTTTGATTTCAACAAAAATTGAAAATATGGGGTTCTTTGATATGCTGAATCTAACCATGTATTTTGATTTTGGACATTGGACCATAATAGGTAAATTAAAAAAATTCAAGTTCAATTAGACCACATTCTTTCTGTGTCAGAAACCTATGCTGTGTCAAATATTTAATAACAATCCAAATTCAGAGCTGTATCAAGCTTGAATGTTGTGTCCATACTTGCCCCAACTGTTCAGGGTTCGACCTCTGCGGTCGTATCAAGCTGCGCCCCAGCGAAGCATTTTATTATCTATTGATGCAACAAGGAACTTCTTTTTATGAAGATTTTCGCCAGCAGAAGATTTTAACAAAATTTATTCCCATTTCAGTTGTTCCGTTTTTTGTTTTTTTTAAATTTGTTTGCCACTTTCTCACTAACGTGCTAAAGGTGTTTCTATCTCATTAAAAAAAGCAGTGTATGTTTCCATTCTCAATTTTATTTATTATGTTTCCTTGTTTTCAAGTAAGAAAAAGTTAGTTGAAAATTATTAAAATGATAATTTGAAGAAGAGTATATGTATCATGTGTATTGCGTGTCATGTAACTATAGATTTTTCTAAAATGAATTTAAAATTTGATTTTGTTGCTACTTTTCTATTTGCACATGTTTGTTTGTTTGAGGCATATCTTGCATGTATAAATATATCAATGTTTTTTTTTCAAGGTCAAATAAACAAGGGTTGACCTTATTGAAATTTTGCTCTGTAACCTCTCTTAAAATTCAGCATGTAAGTCATGGCTATGTTATGAACCAACTCGAATGTATTATCAGTCTGTGCGCAATTTGGCTACTTTTTCAGCAAAAGGCATTAGAATATAGAATTATAGATGTTTACAATGTTTGTCTGAGAGTCAAAATCGACATTTCCTGTTATAGGAAATGAAAATTGATATCAAATTGATAAATGTTTGAGCTTACCAGTAACACTTAACTTTGTTTATTTTAGAGATATTATTACACAACATGGCCTTGCTGTTGTTGATTGTTCCTGGAACAAATTAGAAGAGACACCATTTGCCAAAATGAAGGGAGGGTATCCTCGACTACTTCCATACCTTGTTGCGACAAATCCGGTCAATTATGGTCGTCCATGTAAATTATCTTGTGTTGAAGCTTTTGCTGCTGCATTTTATCTGACAGGTAAGAGGGTCTGTATGGGGGTTTTAGTTTTTTTAGGTCATTTTTTTTCTTTATCTTTAAAAAAGCACTTATTCTGTAAAATCAAGGACGAATAACTAATATCTAATATACGTCCTTGGTAAAGTTATGAAAATGATTTCACAGGTAATTTTGTGTTGAACTTTAGCTGCAGCATTTTATCTGACAGGTTAAAGGGTCTGTATGGGGGTCTTAGTTTTTTAGGTCATTTTTTTCTTTATCTTTAAAAAAGCATTTATTCTGTAAAATTATCGTGAAAATGATTTCACAGGTAAGTTTGTGTTGAAGCTTTTGCTGCAGCATTTTATCTGACAGGTAAGAGGGCCTGGATGAGGGTCCCCTTTTTGGTATTCTTTAAATTTTTAGGTCATTTTTCTTTATCTTTGATAAAACACTTATTCTGTAAAATTCTCAAGAAAATGATTTTACAGGTAAAATATTTACTATGATTACTGTGTCTGTCTGTCCATTCTGAATAGGCATATATAATATAGAAGAAGAGGAAAGACAGGCTGACTCAGAGGCAGAATTGTGTATTAGGGTAGGGTGACATGTTTTCCTGCAGACTATTATCTTGTAAACTAACATAAATGTATTGGTCAAGTACAAATATAAAAGAAGGAGATGAGATTTGATTGCCAATGAGACAACTATCCGAAAGTGTCACAATAATGCCGATTTAAATAACTATAGGTCATCATAAAGTCTTCAACTATGAGCAAAATCCATACCATACAGTCAGTTAAAATAGGCCCAGAAGCAGGGTTTATATTCATATTATATCAACATGTTCTCATACTGATATGCATGTAATAGTTTCCACTGGACATTGAACATCAGTTCATCCATCCAACGGTAAAGAGATATCTGACACGTTAATTTGTAAGCATGTAAATTATTATGTGAACTTTTTTTTATTTTTACAGGATACAAAGATCTGGGTAGCAGACTGTTGGATAGGTTCAAATGGGGTCATAATTTTTATGAAGTGAATGAAGAATTATTAGAGAAATACTTAGCTTGTAAAAATAGTATAGAAGTTGTGGCTGCCCAGGATGCTTACCTCAAACAGATAACACAAGAATCAGCTGACCGAAAATTAGAAGGTAAATTTCTTATTTTCACATTTTCACATTTTCTTAAAAATACATTTCTGTTTTCAAAAAATAATGGTACAATGTAACAATAACATGAATAATTTGATCAATTAGATGCAAACAATAGCTTCAAAAACCTGACTTTAAGAATACTGTGGTGACTGTAAGACAGTTGGTTCCAAATACATGTAAAGCTAATGATAACACAAAGTTTTTAAAAGCCGCCGCCTTTTATTTTTTATCTATATATCTTACTTTTTTTTGTAGATCTGACCGATATAGATCTGAGTTTAGATGGGTATAACCCTAACAGAGTTCAATGGCCACCATCAGAGAGGTACTTACTTTTGAATATTCAATTTTTACATTTTTTTTTCAGCATGCAAAATGTCCAACCTCCCTTGTTGCCTTGGAGTTGCAATTGAGATATTTGAATAACATCCCATCGTTTTTTTCTTGGGCAACATGTGTTACAAACTTTAAGAAGTAAGCTGACTGGTAATGATTAAAAAAACAAATATATAAACTCTTCGTAAGCTGCATGTTGTATATGTACACTTAATATTTGGTATACAGATACTAGTACCTTTTGCTTTGCAATAGTTCCTTCAACACATTTTTACCTGTGTTGCCAAGTGCAAAAGCAGGTCTAATAATGGCTTACTCCGTTTGCCCATCTGTCCGTCTCAAGACCTTGAGATTGAGGGAATGATTTTATATTTGTTCAGCAACTTGATAATGTCGAGTTGAATCTTGTAAGAATCGTGTAAGCAATTCTTACATCTGCTGTGTAGCCACTTCCTGTTTGCTGATAGTTGAAATTTTACAACACTCATTGTACAAGGAAAATTTTTGTCAAATTTTCCTTGGCTTCAATGAAAAGGAATAGTTATGCTTCAGTATACACATTACCTCAATCAATTGCATAAAGGGATGCAGGTCCAGAGAAGGTATTGGTCTTGTTTCTTAATTGTAAGGTTATGTTTTGTCTATTATTTAAATTGATCAGCTGTATTGAAAGCTAACCTAATTGAGTATACTAAAAACCAAAAGCTAAGCTAAAACAGAAATTACAATAAACATGTACTTCATTTAGAGGCTAACATGCAAGTCTACCAGTACAAATTTGATTTCCTGTTTCTACAATCGAAGTTTTTTACTGTACCAATATTTCGGTCAACATCTGCATAATTACTAAATACTGTAAATTCAAAAATGTTTGAAATGTTTTATAATATTGCAAAATTTCTACAGGATAGGTCTAGCATAAATAAACTCACATTTTAAATTTTGTAATATCATTTGTATGCAGTATTTCCTAAAATTGCATAAATTTATCTTGCATTTTTGTCTATCATTCAACAATCACAATGATAAGTGCAACAAAAAATTTCTGAATTCACACTAATTCATACTGAAGTGTTGTACAATTACAATATGGAGGTGTCTCCCCTCTGCAAGGGAGTTCAGTAGAAAAAGGAATATATTACCTTTGTTTTTAATCTTTTTATAGTTCAGAAGAAGAAAGCAGTGAAGAAGAATCTGAAGAAGAACAGGATCACGAAGACAGTCAAAAATCTGACAGTGACAAGGAAATTAAAAATAGTAACAGTGAAACAAACGATAATGTGAAATCAACAGAAAAATCAAACGATAATCTTTTTGAAAATTCTTGTGATACAAGTAATACTGATGTGTGCTCAGATGTTACTGATAGAAATGTTCAGACAAATTTGAATAAGTTGACTTTAAATAATGATTAAAAGTTAAAATTGTAAATTTGTGCAATAAATTATTTGAATTTATTTAAGTGTAATGATTTTATCATGTCTGTCAAATGTACAACATGTATTATGAGGCAGATAAATTTAACTGTAATGAATACATGGCTATCTCCATGTAAATCTGTCAAAGGAATGTGTTTTAACGCCTAGTAAATTGATTTCTAGGAAATCATTACTATGCCATTAAGACCAGGGGTCTTACTAAGGATTTTTGAAGGCAAATATAGGGACTCATTCAGTTTAGTCATGCCAAGTCTAACAGTGAGAAAAAAAAATGTATTGCTACATAAATTACTTTTTCACTCTCCTTGTCAAAATGGAGCAAGGAAATGACATCAAATTTAGATTATTTTTAAACTGATGCTATAAAATGATGAAATGTGTGCTCAGTTGATAAACAATTTTACAATCTAGATGCATCTTTGGACTCACCAGTTTTCGAAAATGATGAGTCCAGATAGATTTTCACAAGTCCAGGACTCATGAACTCGCCTTAGTGAGAACCCTGAAGATCCTGTATTGAAGTTGTTGCTAATTAGGTCTTTCCACTTTTCTGTGGAAAGACCTATTGTATTTGTTCTGATAATTAGGTCTTTCCACTTTTCTGTGGAAAGACCTATTGTATTTGTTCTGATTATTATTATTATTTTTTTTTTTTTTCCCCCAAATTTTGTTCTTGCGATAAATGTTTGTTTCGCAATATGTCGCTTAGATATTTCTCATATTGTATCGTATAGTTTATGCGCTTTTAAATTTCACCCTGCTAAGCGGAACCATTTTCTTTGCAAGAGTTATCTCCCTATTGACTGTTTATCATCTGTGTGCATCTCCTTCGTAACAAAAAAAGATAACGACAAAATTCTTTTTCTAAATTGTTTGTTACATCCTCAGGAATTTTTGCCTAATTTGGATCGAAGCGATCCAGTGAGATCTTAAAGGAGTTATCTGCCTTTACCAAATTAATTTATCGTTAAGTTTTTGTAACACGTAAACCGTAAGCCGTATGAAAAAAATTTGACCAAAATGTTAGTCGCGACATGATATAACTGGAAAGTTTTTGTCAAAATGGTACGCGTCATTGTTTTAGGGGTTCCATGCCACTGAAATAGTAAAATGAACAAAATGAACTAATTATAGCCTCAAACTTTGCAGCTATCATGATGTATACATGCATCTTATTTAATTTATCAACCAAGGTCCACCATTCTCCACCTCCCTCCCCTCCCCCTTCCCTTTTTTTTTTTTTTTTCCTTCTACTTTGAGGAATCCCATTTCGCCTTGATGTTCAGTCCTGTACATTTGACTGTAAAAATGCAATCCTTCTGATGTACAAACTTCTTAAATAGAAATTCATTCCTGCAAAAATCGGCTTCAATTCATACGCGGTCCGCTTGATTGAGAAATAAAATTCAATGACGTAGAAAAATCGTAAATATTGCTGAAATCCTACAATCAAATTTTTTAATCATGCATTAAAATACAAATCTGTGCTCCCGTAAACATGTGTACGTAAGATGCATGCATGATCCGTCATCAATGATCTGTAAATAATAAAAACAATAGTTATCGTGTTTCTTTGATCAATACACATGTGCTCTGTTCAACGGTCTCCCCTGAAAAGAAATTAATATTCTAACTCCAGACATATATATTCGAGGGTCACGTGACTTCACAACACCATCTCGCGTGCGGGCCTAAATTTAGAATAAAACATTGCATATCCAAATAAGGAAAATAAAACTTCCAAGATAAAATTTACTCCGTTTTCCTACAAATTCAATCAAAATGCATACACAACAAATAGATGACAAATGGAAGTCCGAGGTAACATAGAAACTAGAGAAAATTTATAAACGAATGATACTAGGATCAATTTTTATGAGGACATCTCAGGCGTCCGTTTGGCTGTGCGGGATGTCTAAGTGCGCAGTCACGTTCGGTTAGAATATAGGCGTTATTTAAGTTAGCTGCGTCGCACAGAGAAAGTACCATGCAATCAATCAATCAATCAATCAATCAATCAATCAATCAATCAATCAATCGACCGACCGACCAACCAACCAAAAAACCAATTAATCATGTTTCGGAGGGGAAAGACCGTTTAACAATTGTTTTTAAAACAATTGATTTATATTTAGGTCTTTCCACTTTTCTGTGGAAAGACCTATTGTATTTGTTCTGATTATTATTATTATTTTATTTATTTTTTTTTTCTTCCGCCTAATTTTGTTCTTGCGATAAATGTTTGTTTCGCAATATGTCGCTTAGATATTTCTCATATTGTATCGTATAGTTTATGCGCTTTTAAATTTCACCCTGCTAAGCCGAACCATTTTCTTTGTAAGAGTTATCTCCCTTTTCACTGTTTATCATCTGTGTGCATCTCCTTCGTAACAAAAAAAGATATCGACAAAATTCTTTTTACAAATTGTTCGTTACATCCTCAGGAATTTTTGGCTAATTTGGATCGAAGCGATTCGATGAAATTTTATAGGAGTTACCTACCTTTATCAAATAAATGTGTCGTTATGTTTTTGTTACTCATAAACTGTAAGCCGTATAAACCTATAGTCTTTTTATTTAAGGTCTTTGGATCCTAACTTCGAAAATGAGGTCAAGGTCAAAGGTCAAGGTCATGTTCTGAATTTTGTCTTTTGCTTGTTTTTGCATTTTCTCTGATATTTTTAATGTTATATATTAAAGAACAAGTGCAAAATGTTTGTTATATTGTGATGAAGATATGATACATTTGGTCTGAGACAATCTAGCGACATCTTATTGGAGTTATTCCCTCTGAAATGTTTTATTTTAAGGTAAATTGATTATTACTTCATATTGGTACATGATAAAGCCATAAGATCTTTTGTAAAATGTTGGGTGACATATGACATTGAAAAATGTCAACCGGAAGTGACCTTGAGTGAACCGGAAGTAGTCATTTTTGCACTTATTTCATGTAGAAGTACATAGAAACCATATATTTTTTGAATGGTCATACATTAATCTATCATTTGAGACCGGAAGTGATATTTTATAAACCGGAAGTAGCATATTATCTCCCTTTTTACAGGCAAAAGTATATATAAACCATATATTTTTGGAATCAGTGTAAATAAAGCTATCATATGAGACCGAAAGTGACATTTTTTAAACCGGAAGTAGCCAATTATCTCCCTTTTTACAGGCAAAAGTATATATAAACCATATATTTTCGGAATCAGTGTAAATAAATCTATCATATGATACCGGAAGTGACATTTTCTAAACCGGAAGTAGCCAATTATCTCCCTTTTTACAGGCAAAAGTATATATAAACCATATATTTTTGGAATCAGTGTAAATAAAGCTATCATATGAGACCGGAAGTGAAATTTTCTAAACTGGATGTTGACAATTATCTCCCTTATTTCAGGCAAAAGTCTATAGAAACCATGTTCATTGAATCAGTATGAAGAAACCTATGATTGGACGCCAATAGTAGCTTTGAGTAAACCAGAATTATCTTCTCATCAATTATTTAGAAAATTGATGTGGAAAGACCTTCAATTGTTCTTTGAACAATTGGTTTTTAATTGTATATTGCTTTTATTTTCAAAAGCCAAGATTCCAAACTCCAAACAGCATTGGAGAATGTGTCAAACCAACTTATGTAACAAAAGAGAAACAACTGTTAAATGCACTTTTAAAGGTTTGTGTTGACTGGGGTATAGAAATTTGGTCATCCATGGATTTCGTTTGTCTAGCAGTAAAAGCCTTGGTAAAGTCTATCTGGCTGCGGGGGATGTAAAAATAGGCAGCAACATCTGGTTGGAATGTGGATGTAAAATCAGACGTATCTTTTAGAGAGAGTGCCAAGTTCTCTGAATTTGATTTGATTTGATTTTTGGTGTTTTCATGCCACTTTTAAGCACCGCTTTTGGGCTATTTCGTGGCGGCCAGTTTTTATTGGTGGAGGAAGTGCCCGGAGAAAACCACGACCTTCGATAGGAAAACTGACAATCCTAGTCAATTAAGATTGGAGTCGAGTGCACCCGCACGAGCGGGGTTAGAACTTACAACCTCAGTGTTGACTGACTAGTGATTACTGTAGTAACTATTTAGGCCACTCGGCCATCGAGGCCCCTCTCTGAATTTGAAAGAACTCTTGCAAAAACTTTATTAGGGATTTGATGCAGGGGGAAATTAACTTCTGCCCTTTTCAATTATTCCCTCTTTTCTGCAGTGACAGTCCAAATTTTCCTCCCTTCACAGCAGATTTATTTTATAGAACCTAGATTTTGTATAAATCTATAATATGGTCTCCTGAATTTTCATGAAATATTTACCACTGAACTAAGCATGAAATATTGAATCAATAAATCAATCAATCTAAGTTGAAAAGTTATGATTTTAAAGTTAAATCTGTTCAATCTGGATGAAAATCCTATTTTGTACTATACAACTGTACCGATTATTATGACTCACCTACCATAGTAGAAGGGCATTATGTTTTTCAGTCTGAGAATCCATCTTTCCATCCATCTGACCATCCATCAATGTTCAATTTAAGTTTTGGTTTACAGAAGTTTGAAATCACATAAACTTGAAACTTAGTACAAATGTTTATTATGAAGTTTCTTTAAAATATATGCCAAATTGAGCTTTAATTTAGATTTCCTGTTTTACTGATCATGGAAATATAATAGGTTAAAGTTTTGGCTTAAGGTAGTTTGTGGTCACATCAACTTGAAACTTAGTACAAATGTTCATTATGAAATGACCCGTTTAATATATATGCCAAATTAGAGTTTGACCATAGTTTACTGAACATGGAAATGAAAGGTCAAAGTTTTGGTTTAAAGTAGGTTAAATTTTTGGTTTAAGGGAGTTTGTGGTCACATCAACTTGAAACCTAGTTCACATGTTCATTATGAAATGAACTATTAAGTATATATGCCAAAATAGGGTTTTTACCAAGTTTTTAAGGTTCACTGAACATGGATTGTGATCATGTGAGCCAGACATGGTGTCCTATGGACACA